AAGGATTAACACTTTGACACCGAAGCTAGGTAAAGCACGATTTGTCTTCATAAACCCATATTGGTTTATTAAACGATTTATCCCACACTCTACCTGGATCTTAAAAAATTATTGATTTATAATTATTCGTTTTCTCCTGCTGTCTACAAAGCCCTTGAGAGTTTTTCTATTACCAAACATGGGAAAATGCTCTATCAATGGCAAAGAAGGGCATTAAAACTAATTCAGATGAACTTCTTGATAAACCGGGAGCATAATTTCTAAGAGAGTGCAAGTCACATCATGCTTCTTCTAGAAAGGAGATTAGTAAGACACTGAAATAACTGAAAAACATAAGATTTTTGTTCAAATACCAGTTCTACTGCTTACTACCTTGGGGACCAGAGGCAAGTCACTTTGCCTCTTTTGTATAATGAAGGGTGGGGTTGGGGGTAAACTGGATGATCTCTAAGGTCTGGGCCGGTTTTAAGTGTTATGAGAACTATGAGAAACAGGAAATAGCCTGGGCCTCAAGTAAAGCATAAGGACATATGGGAAGTAGACAAAGAAAGATCTAATAGAATAGGGTTTGGGAGCAGTGCAAACAAACAAACAAACAAAGAAGCATGAGTTATAATCACAGAGAAGGGAAATTTACATAGGTACTTGTACAGAAAATTGCAGGCTCTGCAATTTATTCAGATGCACAGTGCTTGGCACATAATAGGTGCTTAATAAATATTTACTGATTGATGCAGTAAACATCGAAGGTAACAAAACCATGACCAGAAGACATCCTCCTCTATATATTTAAGCTATTTCCTTACAACTAGATTTTTAAAACCACCTTAACCATTACAAGTCAGAAATCTTATAAGGTAATTTATAGCCAGGAAAAATAGGGTAAATTTGAACTTGAGTATTTCAGAGTAGGGCAGCTAGGTGGCACAGAGGGACCTGGAATCAGGAAGACTTACCTTCCTCAGTTCAAATCTGGCCTCAGACACTTATTATCTATGTGACTCTGGGGAAGTCACTCAACCTTGTTTGCCTCAATTTCCTCATCTGAGCTGGAGAAGGAAATGGCAAACCACTCCAATACCTCTGCCAAGAACACCCCAAATGGAGTCAAGAAGACTGAAACATCTGAACGAATGATCAACAACAATTTCAGAGTAAAAATCGATGCTTGTTCACTTCAATTCCTGACTCTTCCACCTAGCACTCTCTATTACAGGGCATGCATTCATTAAGAAGCAAATCAAACTAAATTAGCATGTTACTTTGCTTCTTCCCCCTCAGAGATCCATAATTATGTTATTGGCTCTTCTCATACCTTCTTCTCACTTTCTTTGATATTCTATACCTGCCAACTCCATTTCAGCCACTGGTCATACCTTAGATCTTAACATAATAGAAAGTGGTCCACTTTGGAGATACTGAACCCTAAGACACAAAAACTGCCCTTTCCCATCCATTCCCTTACTGGCTCCATCCTTCACCTTCTCACCAATCTTCCCCCTCATCTGGGAGGAATCGACGGCCTTCTTTTTAAAGGAAGCACCTATCTCCTCACCCATATTCATCCTCCATTATGGGGGACTCCTATTCCTGCCACGAACAGCTGGAATGCTGCTAGAGGAAACCACACTTCTTTTTTTTGGGGGGGGGGGGGCTATAGAAATTTTCCACAGTACAGCCAAAAGAATATTGGACTTGGAGCCAGGAAGACCTGGGCTTGAATCCTGACTCAATGACTTATGACTTTGTGACCCTGAACAAGTTACAACCTGTCTAAATCTATTTGCCCCTTGGCACAACAGGGATAATAACACGCACCTCACAAAGTAATTGTAGAGCTCAAATGAGATAAAATATGTAAAGTGCTACATTAATGTGAGTTTTTATTAGTATTACTAAACTGCTCAGAAGAATTGCTCACAGTGATAAAATCTAGGCTCCTTAAAGTATGAAAGTATTGCAATAATAGTTCCAAACAGTTGAAAAGAGACCCACAAGGTGGTACATTATTGTTGGGTTATCTCTATCGCTCATTCTCAACTTCACTTTACATTAAGATTAATGCAATAACCTCATTTTTAACTGTTCTCCCCTTCTCTATTTGAAACTAGGACCAGTATTCCTTAAGAAACGGTCTGCTACGGATCCCTACTTCCTACTACGGATCCCTACTTCCTACTACACTGAGTTCAACCTTGCTGGAGTATGAAGGACTTTGAGCCTTCCACCATCTGGCCCCACCTTATAGTTCAACCTTATCTCCCAGTAATTTCCTTGTAAAGTTTCTAATCTGGACCCCACATAACACACCAAGTTAGTTCCTCATCTCCAGGACTCTGGTCACAGAACTAGCCTCCTCACCTAGAAAGCCCTTTCCTCACCCTCCTCTATCCTAAGCCTACAAGATCCATTTAATTTCTACATCTCCTAGAAGCCTTTGAGTCCACACAAATCTCTTCCTTCTCAGAACTCCTAGGGACTTTAAATTTGCACATCTGTTCTCTAATTATTTCCCTATGTATCTTTCCCTCCTCTGAAATTTGTGTGCTCGATATTTCATATTATAGTTAAAACACACCTCAATTCCCCTACTATATTGCTTTACTCTTCTCTGTATTCCCCATACCTTGCATGCACTATGCACTTTATAAATCAACAAGCTTAAGATTTGAAAAAACAATAACAAAAAACAATCTCCATTCTCAAGGGCCTTACACTCTGAGGAGACAGGGAGAGACTATAAAGAGAATGAATACAAATAAAACACAAAGTAGTTAAATACATGGCTGTTTGAGAGTGTTTACCCTAATAGCTGGGGTAACTCAGGAAAGGCTTCACATAGGTGGTGGTACTGCAGCTGAGTTTTGAAGGAAGAGGACATCTATGAGGTGAGAAGGAGGAATCATTCTACCTATGGGGACCTGCGAGTAAAAAGGCACAGAAACAGAAGGTGGTGTGTTGTCTAGGTGAACTCCTTGAGAATAGGGATTTTTTTTTTTAAACCTTTCTTTGCATCCCCAGTGCTTAGCATGGTTTCTGGCACACAGCAGGCGCTTAATATATACTTATTAATTTGAGAAGTAGAAAAGGCAATTTGGCTGGACCACACACTTGGAACCAGGCTGTGAAAGGCTTTAAAAACTAAATAGAATTTATATTTTGTCTCGAGGGAAAAGGAAGAGAAGGAAATAAGCATCTATTAAGTACCTACACCAGTCACTGTGCTGCTTTACAATCATCTCATTTGTAAATGAGGCAATGGGGAGGCACTAGAGTTTATTAAATAGAGGAGTGATATGATTAAATCTATGCTTAAGAAAAATGAGAGTGGCAGACTGTTATGAGAAGACACTTGTGGCAGAGCCACCAAGTAAGAGGCTGCTAATAATAATCCAGAAAGAGGTGATAAAAGCTTGAAGTAAGATGATGACCGGCTATGTGAGCAGAGAGAAGGGATCAGATATGAGAAATATCGAGAAGGTAGAAATGGTAGAAATTTGTACCATCAAATGGCTTCAATGGCTCAATACATGCACTCAAAATATATTTGCTGAAGTCAATACATGTGAATCTTGTTCATCCAACTAGATTGTCAGGTTCTCTATATAAGAGTTTTCTCCTTGTAAGTGTTTCACACTTCCTCCATATTAGTGGAAGCTGAGTGGGATGGTCAAAAACATCTTGATTGAAGTGACCTGGTTTCCTTACCTATGAGATGAGGGATTGGAACTGGATATTCCCTAAAATCTGTTCCTTGCTCTATTGCTAATTTTCCACGAGCTACCAGGCACAAGCTTTCTAACTCCATTTTCTCCTTGAGTATATCCCTGTGGTTCTTTCTCTTCCTTTTCTCTCTGCCCAGTCCCACCCACAGAACCATGAAAATACAAATTCCTCCCTTCCACACCTCGATCTTAATCTGAGTATGTAGGTTAGCTCCTAATTCCAAATACCCCCTTGCCCCTAGGACACCACCCTTACTCTATTCCCATGTAAGGCAGATTAGGAAAAGGGAAGAGTTAACCCAGGTTAACTGCTCTCACCTATATTTCCACCCCAGTACTCCATTCCACCTCCTCTTCTGAGACCCCAGGTCTCCTATTCTACGCCACCCAGGTCTCCACTCTGCTCCCTTTACCAAGACTCAATTCTCCATTTCCCCACTTAAACAAGGCCCTTGTTCTCATCTTCCCCCCTCCTCCCTTCCTTCACAATACTTAGACCCCCTGGGTCTCGGAATTCATCTCCACCACCTCTCCAAGACACAGCTCTCCACCTCACTGCTCTCTCATCTCCCCACCCCTCATTCCCTTTCCCAGGGCCCGGTTCCCACCCTCCCAGCCCTCAACCTGACTGCTGCCCCTCCCCTCCAGAGAACACGGCTGCACGTTCAGCACCCCCCCCCCAAACACACTCCCCCAAGCCCCGGCTCATTTTCCTTCACTACCCTTCTCCTGCAAAGCCTGTGCCCCAGGGTCTGGGTCTCATCCTCTGCCAGTCAAGGTCTCCATTTCACACCTCCCTGGACGCCCGCTGGAACACCTGGTTCCCATCACACACACACACAATGTCACACGCACTCTCACACACACACACGTGTCTCTGTCTCATTCTTTCTCTCTCACACACACACACACACACACTCACACACACACACACACTCACACACGCGTCTCTCACTCTCTCCCCACGCCCCTTCCCTCGGGCCTGGTTCTTGCGCCCGGCTCCGCACGCCCTCCTCCGCGCACACGTGCCGGTTCCGGGATTCCCATTCATTCCGCTGTCATTGGCGCCATGACCTCTGCGCGCCCGGCGCCTTCTCTCGCCCGCCCGCTACCTTCCCCGCCGCTCCACTCACCTGATCCCAGGAGCCGGCCGCGGGGCGGGCGGGGGCCGGCCATGCCTGGCCTTCGGGCGGGTTCCCCAGGGCGCTGAGCCTGGGACACCCCGAGGCCGCTCTCCACGAGCAGCAGCGCCGCCAGCGCCAGCCCAACGAGGCCATGATCCCGCTCTTCAAGTCCGGCGGGCGCCTCCGCCCCAGCCCCGCTCCCCGCCGCGGGGACCCGGAGCCGGAAACCTGGCACAAAGAGCGCTTCCGCCCACAACCCTTCTCACTGCCCTTCGCGCCTGAGAGCGAGGCTGACGCGGGCCCGAGCTGCGCACGCACACGCCCCCCTCCCCCGGTAGTCTGCTAGGCAGGAGGCGAAGGCCCGACGGGAAATAGAGGAGGGGGCGGTGGCCTGAGCGCGCACTCCGTCCCCCGCCCCGCCCCGCCCCGCCGCGCCTCTGGGCGCTGCAGCCTTAGGCCGCCCGCGGTCCTCCCTTCCACCGGATGGTGCCCTTGCCAGCCTTCCCCACGCCCTGAAACCCGAGGTCTGCGCTCCGGGCAGGCCCGGGCGGGCCCATGGAGAGAGGAGCCGGCGCCCGAGGCTGCGGACGGCGGGGCGCGCGCTGCTGGCTGTGCTCCTCAGCTGCCGCGCCTCCTGCGGCTTCCTGGAGGGGCCCCCGGCCCTGGGACGGAGGCCCGGCCTCGAGCATCTCCCCGTCAATGAGTCCGGCCCGGGCTTTTGCGAACGGAAAAACGGACTGGGCAGCTCGGTTGATTCTTGGAGCCTGTCTTCAGAAAGCCTCGTAGGTACAGACGGGATCTACCGGCGGCCACGTTCCGAGAGCCAGGCAGACCTGGGATCCCGGGTTGTGCCCGTGAGCAGCTCGGGCTGTCCTGTGTATGCACATGCACACATGTGCACCCACACGCGCACACACGTGCACACGTGCGCATACGCACACATGCAAGTAGGGGCTAAGGACTTGTGAGTTCATCTCGGAGGGGAACTCTTGGTGTGGAAACTTCCTCCACCAGGCCACAGTTTAACGGTCTTGAAGTCTTAGGGAGTCACCTGTTGTGAAACAAAGAAAAAAAAAAGCACAAAATTGGCAGTCTCTCAGATTTTGGAATCTTGTACCCCGAGTGCCTTATGTTGTCTACAGCCCCAGAGCCTTCAGAGGCGTTGACTGAGTCACTAAGATCCAGGTTCGAGTCTAGCTTCAGATAGTGGCCGTGTGACTCTGGACAAGTCCCTGCCAATATGTGTCTAGTGTATTCATACCCACACATATATGGATATACATATAGATGATATTGCTTATCAACTATATGTATACATATATATGTACATATAAACATACACACATAAATATAAATGCATGTTTATGTATGGTTGTGTATACACATGCATTTGTATGTGCATACACACAACAGATTGTTCAGGGACAAGTGAGTTGATTTCTACAAGGAACTGGTGGGTATGGAAACATTCTACTGATTCACAATTGAACTCTTAGAAAGTTACCCAAGACTCTGCGAGATTAAGGGACTTGCCAGGAGCACACAGCTGTATGTGTCAGACTCAACTACACACTCCCTCTCATAGTTCGGGTACTGATAGTATTTTCAAAAGTTTTACTTTATTGCTGGTTAATAAGCAACATCATAGCTTCTATTATACAGCTGGAACTGAACTTAGAGGCTATCTAATACAAGCTCCTCATTTTACGGAATAGGAAACTGAGACCCACAGAGGTGTAGCGACTCTTCTAGGTGGCACAAAAATCGCTGTAATGCAGCTTTTTAAGCCTATATGTTGTGTATCTATGCCCATCAGCATTGGTGGAACTTTGCTCATAGAGAATTCCCTACACTGATTAAATCACAGGTGTGAGCCAAAAAACTGCCCGGTATCTCTATAAACTCTATAGTGAGCCTTGCATTAGTCTTGATGATGGCACACGCTTAAAGCACACAGACTTATTTGCTCAGGTTGCAGTCAGTTCCTGATAAGGATAATTGCTTCATTTTGCTCTTCTAAATGGAGTAGATGTTTATCTCCAAGTGCAGATTATCATTGCAGTTATTCAAATCTAGACACGTTTTAAACATCGTGCAGCCAGGCTTTAGACTCCATCAGTTCTTTCTCTGGAGATGGAGAACATTTTTCATCTTAAGTCCTTCTGAATTGTCTTGGAGCATTGTGATGGCTAAGTCATTCACAGTGGATCATATGCTGATATGTTTTCAAAAGTATTACTTAAGTGATTCCAAGATTTCTTTTTGGTAATTCTGTCATGCCAAACTAATGATTTTTTTTAATGGAAAAAGGAGCTACTTTATTATCCATTTTAAAATGTCAGCTATAAAACCTGAGTATTGCTCAAGCTTCTAGATGTGGCCAGTCAGGAGGGTGAACATCATTCTCTTTGAATACCACTGTTGGGGTCACAGGGCATGCAAGGAGCTGTGGGGAGGAGAAGAGTTTCTTTGTAATGAACATAACAAAGATGGGAGAGTCACTTATTTTTTAAAATTCTGAATTTATAAAAAAATTTCCATATAAAAACTAAAATATAAAAAAGATTTTTCATATGAAAATGAGAATCTATCGATACAACTTTTTAAAAAGTATATGTAACAAATTTAACATACTAACTTTCAAAACTGCTACTTATTTGTGTTTCCTTTTTGAACTTCCTTATGTTGTCTGCTGAGCATTTAAAAAAATGCTTTAATGACTCTTTTTTTCTGTCTTTTCTGGCAACATTAGCTCTACTGCCCTTTTCTATCCCAAATAAAAAAAGAAAAATACAAGTCTTTAACGAATAAGCATAGTCAAACAAAATTAGTCCACTAATGTTCACATCCAAAAAAATGTATGTTTCATGCTATCTTGAATCTGTCACCCTTCTGTCAGGAGGTGGGTATCGTGCTCACATTAATCCTCTAGAGTCATGGTTGGTCATTGAATTGATCAGAGTGCTTGAGTCTTCCTTTACAGTGTGGTCACTATCATTATTCTCCTGGTTCTGTTCACTTCACTGTATCAGTTCATATAAATCTTGCTGGGTTCTCTAAAGTCATCCCATTATCCATTTTTTATGGTGCAGTAATTTTCCATTACATTCATAATTTGTTCAGCCATTCTACAGTTGTTGGGCACCCCCTTGTTTATAGTTCTTTACTACAACAGAAGATCTGATATAAACATTTTTGTCTATGTGTCTATTTTTTCCTTTTCTTTTTTCTTCATTGGGCTTTAGGCCTAGTGGTGGCATTGTGGGATCAAAAGGTACACATGATTGAATGACTTTGGGCCTAGTTCAAAATCCCATCTTTTTTTTTTTTTTTGTTACAGATATTCTTTTTTTTCTCATTATTGTTGTTGGTGAGGTAATCGGGGTTAAGTGACTTGCCCAGGGTCACACAGCTCATAAGTGTCAAGTGTCTGAGACTGGATTTGAACTCAGGTCCTCCTGACTCCAAGGCCAGAGCTTTATCCACTGCACCATCTAGCTGCCCCCAAAATTACATTTTAGACTGACTGGACTAATTCACAGCTCCCCACTAGCATGTCATTGTGCCTGTTTTTCTACAGCCTCAACAATTGCCATTTTTCTTTTTGTCAATAAGATATCTATCAGGTGGGAAACTCAGAGTTGTTTTGATCTGTACTTCTTATATTGATTGTGATCTGGAGCAGTTTTTTAAAAATATGATTGACAGAAATTCTCCCTTTGAGAACTTCTTGTTCATGTCTTTGAACTCTTTGACTATTTGGAGATGGTTTTTATTATGTATTTGCTTCAGTTCCTCATATTGGATATGAGATATTTATTTTTTTTAAAACTGCCTATAAATATTTTTTCCCAATTAACTGTTGACCTTCTAATCTTAACTGCACTGATTTTGTTTGTGTAAAACTTTGCAATTTTATGTAATCAAAACTGTTAGTCTTATCTTCTGTGATCCTTTCTGCCCCTTCTCTGGTCCCCCTATCCACAGGTATTTTCTTCCTTCTCTAATTTTCTCTTGATAATGTGATCTTTTACATTTAGTTAATAAAACCATTTGGAGCTTATCTTAGTATATAGTATGAAGTATTGGTTTAAACTTAATGTCTTCCAGACTGTTTTCCCATTTTCCCAGCAGCTTTTCTTGAATTGTGAGGCCTTATCCCAGTAGTTGTGGTCTTTGAGTTTATTGAACACTGTATTACTATGTTTGTTAGCTTCAATAAGTCGTGAACCTAATCTGTTCCACTGATCAACTTCATTGTTTTTAGTCAGCACCAAAGAGTTTTGACAACTATTTTGTAATATAATTTGAGAACTGGTACTTCCAGTATCCCTTCTTATTTTTTTTTTTATTATTTCTCTTGAGAATATTGACCTTCTGTTACTTCAGATAAATTTTATAATTTTTTTCCAGCCCACAAAAGTAATTCATTGGTATTTTGGTTTATATGACCTTGAATAAACAAATTTATTTCATTAGCATTGTCATTCTTATGTAATCATTGCTCACCCAAGTCATTAATATTGCTGTATTTAATTGGGTCTGTCTTTATTTCTCTAGAATGTTTCGTAGTCATATTTATAATAATTCCTCTGTATGTGTTGGTAGGTAGACTCTTAAAATATTTTATACATTCTGTAGTTATTTTGAATGGAATTCAGAAAGCTGGATAAGCAGATTCAAGAATCATCTGCATAGAGATGATAATTGAATTCATAGGAGCTGATGAGATCACCAAATGACATAGTAGAGAAGGAGAAAATAAAAGAGCCCAGGACTAAACCTTGTGGGACACTCATCATTAGCAAGCATCCAGCTTTGCTGGATGAAGATCGAGCAAAGGAGACTGAGAAAGAACAGTCAGGAGGAGAAACAGGAAAGAGTAGTATTATCAAGGACAAGGAGGTGATCAGCAATGGAAAAGAGGAATTTTCTTTCCCAGTATTTTATCTTGTAATGCTAAAATGTGAAATAGCCAACATTTACTGTGTTAAAAACGAAGCTATACTGTTGTTACTTGATGAAATTTATGTATTTTGAGTTTGTGGATGTCATTTTTACTTTGATACAAAATTTTAGGAAATATGTATATGTAATATGTGTGTGTGTGTGTGTGTGTGTGTGTATATGTATGAGTGAATGTAAGGTTTTTGTTTTTTTTTCCTACTAGGTATGTTGCCAATTGATCCAGTTTATGAAAATTATGTTCGCAAAGTGAGAAACTGTATTTTTTCTATTGTTTACCCTACTCCTTTCAAATCAAGGATTCATCTTGTAGCAGTTTCAAAGGTTAGGCTCTTTTTAAATAGTAAAAATAAGAATACTTTATTCAAGTCCCTGAAACATTCATAAAAAAAGAAGGATAATGTGTCCTCTCAGAGTTAATATATGTAGCGGGTAAATTATTGCTTTGTGTTTAATTTATTCATGTACTTTGATGGTCTCACAATCTTATATAGAAAAATCTTATATGTTTGCATGATAATGCAAACATAGTATGTATACTATATACATGACCATACAAACATAGTATCTGAAAGTTTTTCTTTCAGCCCTAATAGTTTTGGAAAATAACATTGGGGGGATGGGAATGGATTAAAATTTCATATAACCCTGAAAATATTTTTTATAAGCCAGCCCCAAGCTGTCCTCCAATGATGTAATCTTATTCCATGGCTCAAAATGAAAAGTTAATAATTTTTCAGTTCCATAAAGGTCTTTGCCATGGAAGGAAAAGCAATATTTTCTTGAGACTTTAACTAATCCTTATGAATATAACTTTAAGAAAAAAAACCCAAAAACTTTCCAGTGAAGTAGAATTAGATTTTTTTTATTTGTAGTACTTGTTAATGCAGGTTATAAACTACCAGATTTCCCAGATATTATTGATAAGTATAAAAATGAACAGATCTTTTGGAGCTAGACTTTTAATATTGCATTTATTAAAATGATTATATCTTTTCCCTTTGTCATCAGTACTCTGGTAGAAAACTTGTAGAAGGCCTATTTACATTTTTAATGTGATTTTTTTTTTTTTAGGATGTTCTGGAAGATATTTTGGACCTTGACCTTTCTGTTTCAAAAACAAATTATTTTATTCAGCTTGTAAGTGGTGAAAAGATAGTATCTGGCTCTATTCCATTGGCCTATAGATATGGAGGCCATCAGGTAAAGCTAATGTTGCTTCTCTAAGATGAAAATGTAAACATTTTTTAGTTTCCATTTAAGTTAGGAAGTTGTTGTTCACTAATTTCCTTGGTCCAGAATATTGAAAATTCAACAAGATGATTTTAGAATGTTTTACTAGAGTATGTATTACCATATATAGCATCACTATCGGGGTTATTATTATGATATTTTCTAGGTCCCAAATCATCAGAATGGAGCCATGGAAAGAGTGGCTATGATAACATCAGATCTCTGTGAGTTACTTATCCCTCTGAGATAAGTAAGTCAGATTGTGTCTCTGTACAGAGGTCTGTGTATTATTAACGTATCCTAAGGCAATGCATTCTGAGTCCTGAGTCTTCCTTTCAGGGAGAACCTGTCCTTATATATATTGGTATTTGAGGGTCCAGTATCACCATTTTGCCTCATCTTGTTGGACTCAGATGCAGACATTGGGGCCTTTTGCTGTTTGAAGATCAGCTCAGTGGTCTTCTTTACCCTTTGGATGGATTTATACATGAACTCCTTTGAGGGCAAATGGGCCTTTTGTCTGTGACAACCCTAATTCCTCAGAGGGCCTGTTAAAACTTTGCTGTTGGGCAAATTACTTCTCTCCTCATTGTGTCTGAGTTTCCATGTCTGTTGAATAACTGGGTTGAACTAGATGACCTCTAAAGTTTCTTCCAGCTCTCAATCTATTGTCCTATGATACTTATGAAACCTAGGTTCATGGAGATTAGGTGACTTGCCTGTGCTGTATCAGAGGTGGTATTTGGGCTCCTCTGATTCCAGATCTCCTTCCATTATGGCATAGTGTCTCCCTAATAGATACCATGGAAGGGCATAGGTTTAGGACAGCGGTGGGGAACTTTCGGCCTCAAGGCCACATGTGGCCTTCTAGATGCTCAAGTGCAGCCCTTTTGATGGGGTTGGGATCTGGGCCCCAGAAAGGAAAAACCCCAGACTTTCCCACATGGCCAAATCTCTGGAGTTAGCCTGAGACTTTTATCCCATCAACTGGCCTTTTATTGTGGCTACACCCAATCTCCCAATTGTGTTAACCTAGCCTTGCCTTCCTTTGTCTTACCTCCCTATGTATGGCCTCCAGCCGTTTTCCACCCTTAATCCTAGCTAGCCTCCATTCTCCCTTGGCCATAAGGTCCAGGTCCCAGGAGTTCTGTTCACCCCAGCTTACTGGCCACTCTTAGGTCCCTCCCATAGGCTTTCTGTATATAAGATCCATTTTGTCTCCATTAAGATGCTCAGATTCTTATAATCTAGTCACAGCTGGGATTCATAAAACCTAGCCACTGCTGGGATTCTTATAATCTAGCCACTGCTCAGATTCTTAAAATCTAGACTAATGTTCAGACTCCTTAAGAGTCTGCCCAATATGATGGATGTTCTAATAAACCTTGTCTTTGGCTGAAAGAAGGCTTGGGTCGAATTCTTTTGGGCAGGACCTGCGTGTTGTGATTTTGGGGTCCCAGGGCCCCTGAGTCCCTAAACCGCATCACTTTGACTGAATCCAAACTTCATAGATTCACTCAAAGGGCTGCATTTGAGAACCTACAGGGCCACATGTGGCCTTGAGGCTGCAGGTTCCCCACCCCTGGTTTAGGACTACAGTAAAGCATGAAATGTTTGAAAGAAGATAGGAGCAGGGTGTTCCACTAGGGAGATGAAAAAAAATTCATTAACATAGGATTAGTTGTTTAAGCCCTATAATACTGTTTTGGGGTTAGGTAATATTTATTTAGTATTTCTTGACTCTTTTGTGCCTCTCTCAAACTTGGGCCCCCAGAACGTTATTCCATATCCTGGCCATTTTGTAAATCAGTGTCAACTCAAAAATCATAGTTCCTGAGCCCCCAACAGTGTGCTTGTTCTAACTGGTAAAGTTAGCCAAATGACAGACTGGTTCAAGGTGAAAGACATTTAATCAAATAGAATAGAAAAATAAATGACAAGAAAGATTTCACCTACCCCTCATTAAACAAGGGGAAAAGGCACACTCTCTCCTACAAGTTACTACACAGCTGGTAGGGGAGAGAATAACACATGTAGGGAATGTATGATCAGGAAACACAGATACAAAGTGAAATACATAGGGAACATGTATGTCCAGGGAACATCTATGGAGGCAAACATATGTAGGGAAGCCAAGTAGCTTGTGAATGTGTATGGAGGGGCAGGTAGAAAGGAAACAGATGTGGTCAGGGAACATGGATGGCTGGGCAACTCACAGCTCCAATGCTATAGAACCACCCCTATCCTTTGGTGATGTTATTATGCTACTCTCGTGTGTCATTCATCTCCATTGAGTTGCTACTGAACATTTCTCATGAGTTTCTGATGCTGTCTGTTGTCATTTTTGCTCTTCAATTGGTACTCAACTCTTACTGATCTGTTGCTGCAGTTGCTATGGTCTCTGCTCCCAAAAAGCTCACAGCCTCGGACTTTTTAACTCTGGAGATACAGCCTTCACAGTCACACAGTCAGCTAGCTAGAAAAAGCTTTAGACATTTAAGTTTTTCAACCATCTTTTCCTCTGAGTGTGCTCTATTAAGAGGAATTCTAATTTGTCTCAGAGTAAGAAAATTCCTTTCAACCCCTTTCTACCACCACGATGCCAGTTATGGACCTCACAAATCATAGGAGCTAGTTGGAGAATATGAAAAAGAGTTTATGCTTTGTCTGACTCTTTTCCCAACCCCACTCCTAATTTCACATTAATTCCAGATCTCTTTCTGGTTCTAACTGTACCAGATTATCATACATTCATGGCCACATGATGGTGTGAAGGGTAGCAGCAGCTACTTTCTTCTACTTTGTGTTGGATCATTTCTAGTGCAGTGTGGTGCTTAATTATATATCCAACTTCTGCCATTCTCTCAATAGGAAAATACTCTTTTGAGACTGAAGCTTGAGTCCCTGTGGGTGATGCCCTTGTTTCTTTTCTTATTTTCTATCACAATTTTTAAATTATATTTATATATCACAAAAAAAGGCTAAAATCCACTCCTTTAAGTTACACAGTGCAAAATGGAAGCATACCATTGTTTCAGAGGTGATGCTCTTGTTTCTTGACCTGTTATTTGTCTTGGATGTCTCTGAATCCCTGATCTACCTATCCAATCCAAAGACAACAAAGACAAGGAAGATTGGTCTAACTCAACAAAATTTACATCCACTGAGAGAGAACACACACAACAATGGAAAGCCTAAAATATCTAGCTGTATTTCCTGTGTTAGTGGCTTTGCTCCCTGAATGTCACAGATTGCCTTCATCTTTGTTTTACAAGAATTAGGTATACCTGGGGAAGTGGTCCTTGACCAGTTGTGCATCCAGAACTCATACTTAGTTGCCCACTCTGGCAAGGAGCATTACCTTGACACTTGTTAGAAGATATGAATACCTGGTTGTCTGCCCAAGCCTGAAATTGAGCTTCATACACAGTCTAGGATTTTATAAGTGACAGTCTGCTTCAAAGCCAAGGAGTAGTGTCATTGTCAGTAAGTCTTTACCTAACAAATGTGCTTTTGTCCCCTTTTTTTCTCTTGGCATAAAACTGTTCCTAAGCCCTCTAAGCAGGTGTCAATAAATAGCCTAAAGGTTGTGCTTGGATTTACATAAGCTAACTCTGGTGCATGTGTGACAGTTGACTAAATACTTAAAATCTTATTTATATTTCTTATCCCAACGATCTACAAAATTTAGTCTGTGCTTTCGTTTCAGGGTTTGTGGACTCCAAAGCTAGTATATCTTAGAACTGGAGAACTTCATTTTTGGAAGGGACCTTAGAGCTAGTCCAATCTTGATACAAAAACAGTCATTCATGTAGATTTAGTTCACTTAATATTTCAAAAGGTCTGTGGTTTCATCAGTATGAGTTTTATAGTCAGTATCATGATTGGTTGGGGCTATAAAAATTCGTCATCTTGTGGAAATCTTTTCTGTGATGATCCTCTTTAAACTAAGGCTGGTTTTCAGGTGGCATTCTCTTACCAGCCCATATTTGAAGCCTTTCTACCTTGAAAAAACCTTCCAGCGTTTTCACCTAACTGCTGGCATATTGTTTTTTGTTTGTGATTTGGTTTGTTCTAGACCTGCAGTATCATCACTGTGGAGTATGGAAGCCCTTTCCAAACAAATGCAGATCCTCAGCTCTTCTCTAGTTTATAAACTCAGAGAATTGCCCATTGTTACTCAGTCTGCGGAGTAAATACTGAGGGGTTAGAGTGGTGGTCACACAACTAGTATTTGTGACAGGCAGGTCTAGAACCCAGGTGTTGTATGCACTATGCTACGGTTGCCTGTTTGGCATAGTCTTCAAAAATGGTGGAAGACCTTTATGCTTTAGTATATCACCAGGGTAGAATTTAGTGATGTTAATGTGTGACATATTTAATCGGTACCCTTGATTCACTAATTATGCAGCCTTAAAGGCAACAGAATTTTTTTTGTTTGTGCCTTATTGTATTATTTGGGAACCAAATTATGCCTCAGACTTCACGTTTTGCTCCTAGATTTCTTTCCATGATTTAAATACTTAGTAAAAAGATATGTTTAATTATCCATCTGTCTTTCTGTTAGCTTGGCTTTGCTATTGTAAACCTTTACCTAGGGGAAACTATTTCTGGTTCCTAGTGAACCCAGCTCCAGCACATGGACATCTGGATCCCTGCCAAATCTTTATTTAGAGTGATATCCTTACATATCCCAGGCTGTGTTATCCTTACTTCCTCTTTCTAGTCTGTCTCACTTATGGTTTATTATTATTATTGTCAATAATAATAATTCTTCATTTTTAGCTAGTTTATTGCTGTATGCAGAACATCTTCCTCACAAAACCCTTGTTGTTGTTCAGTTGTGTCCAATTCTTCATGACCTCATTTGGGGTTTTCTTGGGCAAAGATACTGGAGTGGTTTGTCATTTCCTATTCCAGCTCATCTTGCAGATGAGGAACCGAGGCAGACAGGGTTAAATGACTGGCTCAGAGTCACACGGCTATTAAGTATCTGAAGCCAGATTTGAATTCAGGAAGAGGGGTCTTCCTGATTCCCAGCCCAGTGCTCCATCACTGCACCACCTAACTGTCCCTACACAAAACCCGTAGATAATACTAATATTTATCTCTATTTTACAGATCAGCAAATGAGGCTCATTGACTGCAATGAATCACATAGCTAATAAGTATCAAAGCCAGCACTCAAAATAGGTCTTCTAACTCCAAATCCAGAATTGCTATACCACACTTTGTTTTTATATCTCCCTGTTTCCATTATTGCTTTCACTCTGAGTTTCATACTTCTAATTTCTTCTGACTGCCTCCATGGTGTAGAGATCCTCCTAATGGACTGTCAGTTTTAGTGTCTTTCAGATGGATGTTATAAGATGACCATGTAAGTAAAAGTTAGCTGAAAATATTTTACATTTTTCTTATTTAGGGCCAAGTATCTCATTATTGTAACCCCAGCATGACTTAATGTCTAATGTTCTTTTTTAGCAATGTCATTTAAAAAATATTGATTCTTAAGATATGTAATTAATTAAAGATAACTTTGATAATTTTCATTTTTTTCCAAGTTTGGAACTTGGGCAGATCAGCTTGGGGATAGAAGAGCCCACCTTATTGGGATATACACAAACAGGTATCAAATGTTTTCTAGAAAAATATTTTGCATTCCTTTGGGTGAGATAAGGGCACATTCTAATATGCTGATATTCTTTTGGAAGGTATGGTGAAAGGTGGGAACTCCAGTTAAAAGGCTCTGGAAAGACCCCATACTCACGGTAGAGTCTCATGCTTTCTAGTCATCTAGGTAGAATTGTCATGCACTTAAACTTTCAAATACAGCCTTTTATTTTTAACTTTCTGTAGAAATGGTGATGGAAGAGCTGTGTTGCGTTCCTCAGTGAGAGAATTTTTGGCTAGTGAGGCCTTGCACTACCTCGGAATCCCAACGAGCAGAGCTTTAAGGTAGCCCCTTTCTTACCTCTATAACAGTGATTGTGAAACTGACTTTTAGGACTAGATGATGTTACCTTCCAGAAGTGCTTACTTGAGTCATAGTATACCTAACTGTGATAGTCACACTATCTGCAGAGGGATAGTAAAGCTAACATAGCTTCTTGTTAGAAGCCTTTTATAATTTCCGGTATTTTTGATAAAAGAGCTGAGTTGTCTATACTGCTTAAAAATGCAGTTATAACAGTTCAGCATTTTGCCTGCTTCTTTAAATAGTTGCATGGCTGCAGCTGAGCTGCCGTGATAAAAAGTAATATTGAAAAACACATCAAGTTAGATATCAGCAGTGACATTTGCTATTTTTATTACTAAGGAACATTTTAGCTTATGAACCAGTTTCCTATTTTCATTCATTTTCCTTCTTACATCTTGAACAATTGCTTTGTTGATGTGAAGACTTAAAAACTTTTTTTTAAAACTAATAGAGGTGTTTGGTTTATTTGTAAATGTAACCAACCACTGATGCTGTAGTTACAGCAAGCATTTTATAATATAAAATTATATAAAAATATATATTATTATATACTATAAGCAAGCATTTTACTAAAAAAGATTTCTCTGTGACCTGTAAATTTTCTGTTTGCATAATTTGTGGTGTAAAGTGATACTATTTAAGCAGTGGAAATCTTTTTTCTGAATTCAGAACATCCATGTTAGTGCAAATAGAACTTTAAAAAAGTTCAATATCACTTACTTGATTATTTCTCTTTTCTTTCAGTCTGGTTGTAAGTGATGATGATGTGTGGAGAGATAATTTCTACAATGGAAATATTCAGAAAGAAAGAGGTAATGATAACATTTGAAAGCACATTTGGAAAATTGAGGCCAGGTTTCACAAAAGTAAAAAAATATTGTGAATCATATAATTATACATTCCCAATAATTGTATGGCATAAAGGTAAAACATATGTTGCTGTCCCCTATTGAAAATAGATCTATTTGCAGATAGGCATTCTAGGTCTTTTGAAGTATCCTTTGTTAAGGAGGCAAGCAACCCATTTTGGAAAGGTTTTCATCAAAAATGGGGGAAAGAACAGATAAGCATTTAACAAAAAGAATGGAAAGATAAGCCCAAAGACATGAATATGTTAGATGTTCTCACATTATAGATAACTCATGTTTTGTCTTTTGCCAGAGCAAAATTATTATACTTTTTATTTTATTATGTTGTTTTCTGATAAAATCAGTTGTCTAAAATCCACATGAATGATTGCAAGGCAGTAGTAATGGGGAATAATAAAAAACAGTGAATAGGCTGCTGCTTTCCCTTATTAGATAATAGGTAACATTTATATAGTGCTGTAAGATTTGCAGAGTAGTGAGAAATGTCAGGGGAAGTGGATATCCCACTTTTTGGAGCACTGCCCTGCAGGATGGCCATTTTGTTGCTTTAGTATTCTTAGGGGTGATAGTCTCCAGCAGGTTGTAGGTGTCCCAAGATCTGAATTTTCTGTATATCTCCTTGAGTTAAGGGCCACATCAGTCAGAAGATTCTACCATGCCTTGTGTAGCTAATCTACATGCAAATAACCAGGACCTGACTTTTCTAACAAATATTTTTCAGATGCATTATACCATTGAAATTTTCTTATAAAAATAATTTTATTTTAAAGTTCACATGTTCTACATTTTAAAATAGTTTTCTAATCTTTAAAATGTTTCTGTTTAAGGTGCAGTAGTTCTGCGCATTGCAAAATCATGGTTCCGCATTGGATCATTAGAAATTTTGGCTCATTACGGTGAACTGGATTTACTCAGGTCAGTAAGTTATCTTTATAATATGGTCAAAGACATTTTGACATTCTTATGTTTTCTTACATGCTGTTAAAGATATTCTGTTTTCTTGTGAGGGGAAAAAAGCATTCATTGAATAAGTATTTAGTGAATGATTGCTTTGTACCCAGCCCTGCATTAGGCACTATGAGAACATAAGGCAATCCAGGTAGGCCTGAATGCCTTACATTCTATTGTGACATGTTACAGAGAACTGAAGTTCTGGGTGTATACAGATCGGGTGTAATCTTGAGAATGTCACTCTAATGTCTTTCTCTTTGGCCAAAGTCCCCACTCAGGGTTTCTCCTGGGAATAACAGAATTTAGCTCATTTGCCCCCATGCTGAGTTTCTCCTAAGGATATCAGCACTTGGCTCATGTTTGAGTCTTTTCACAAACGGTTAAGAGTCTGCAGCTTCTGTGCAAACACTCAGGCTGCTAATACCCTACGTATAGGATTGGCTTTGTTTTGCTTTACCTGACATCTCAAAACACACAAGAAAAGTCTTACACTGGAGACCCTAAACAGTCAAAGCAGTGTTCCTTCTCTCTTTTGCTTCCACGAGAGAATTGTTCATCTTCCAGACCTAGAGCATGCATTACCTTCTGGCTTAGGTTCCTTTTCTAGAGGAAAGGACTGGGGGTCCCTAGCGTTGGCTTCCTCCCACTACTTCTGTGCTTTTCTCACAATATTAGTAGAGGATGAGGTCTGGATTTGCCTCACCCAATGGTCGCTCTGCCCCTCACAGCTCCTTGGCTCTGGATCTTATTTCAAACTGGACCTCCTCTACTTGATCCGGGAACTTGTCATTGTCCAGGAACTCCTCTTTAATGTCCAGAAGATTTAGCTTTAGAATTCCTTCTCTTGTGTAGGAATTCATCCATTGTTTCACTGCTGTGACCCTGCGACTTCTAGATTGTATTCTTGCAGCTCCTACGTTGGCCCAAGAACCTTTTCCCATTCAGACGCTGTTCTGTGACAATGTTTCTCTCCTGTGATGGGGCCATATGGTTCCCTGGAGGAGCACAGGCTTCCTCTGGAGGCAGGTGAGCACCAGTCTCAGGTGGTAGCCCCTCTTTTACCTGTAGTTCTGGTTCGGTCCAAAAGGCTTCCAACCTCACTGCTTTCCCCTTTGAGGGCACAAGGTGTCATCTTCAAGTGTAGCATAGTTCTGTGGAAAATGGAAGCTCGCTAGAAAGGAAGGGAGAGTTGTTTTAAACATTTGTAGGTTAGAGTGCCAGTCTTTTGTGTTTAGTGGTTTTCTATTAGGTTAAATAAAGCCTGTCCTATATTCAGTATGTCCTATATTCAGTATATTGTTAGGCTAAGTGCTTGCGTGGGAGGGAGCTGAAGATTCTTTTATCTTTTCTGTTCTAACCTAGATACAAGCTAAATTCTGTTTCCAGGATAAACGGTCACTGCAGAATCCTCGTCTCCCAGTTCTTAGTCATTCTGCTGACCTCTGTGCTTCTCATTGAGCAGAGGCAGGTTGGAACCATATTAAAAAGGGCGTTTGCTAGGTTTAGCATTTCACAATATTTTTGTCAGGCAATAGGCAGCATCTTTTTAGGTCTTAAGACCTAGAAAGGCAAAATTTGAGAGGGATTTTGAGGATCTCAGTTACATTTTAGGAAGGTAGAGGTATCTCCTTTGACAGGTATAAGAGTAAAAGGTTCTGATACATTTTTTTTTTTCTGTCATTTTAAAACTTTACTAATGCATTCTGTAATTGATGAAAGCAGTTTTAAAGAAAGGTTCCATTTACATCAAAATATTTATAGCAACACTTTTGGTGGTAGCAAAGAACTAGAAACAGTTTCCTATCAGTTGGGGAATGGCTGAAAAAATTTCGGCACGTTCAGTGTGGTGGAAAACAATAAATATGATGATTACAGAGAAGTATGGGAAAGACATATAAATATGTATAGTGACGTAAGCAGAGCCAAGAAGACAATATACACAATGACTGACTATGGTGCTCTAAAGAGCAACAATGGAACAAACCACAAAGCAATCAAAAATGAATATTTCAGAATTATGAAGAATAAACTTGGTTTCAAAAAAAATATAAGAAAACACCTTCCCTTGCTCTTATGTGGGGAGAATGGGGGTATGTGTCTACGGATGTGCAGCATTGAATATAATGTCAACTTTTTTTAATTTATTAGTTGATTTTATTGAATTTTTTCACTCCTTTCTATTTTTTAAAAAATCTTTATCATAAGAGATGGCAGAGGGGGAAGAGGGAGAAATAGGGAAATCTATTTTTTTTTTTTTTGTTTTTACTAGGCAGTGGGGTTAAGTGACTTGCCCAGGGTCACACAGCTAGTAAGTGTCAAGTGTCTGAGGTTGGATTTGAACTCAGGTTCTCCTGACTCCAAGGCTGGAGCTCTGTGAAGTTGGATTTGAATTCAGGTTCTCCTGACTCCGAGGCTATAGCTCTATTCACTGTGCCACCTAGCTGCCCCCTGGAAATCTGTATTTTTTTTTTTTTTTGATGAGGCGATTGGGGCTAAGTGACTTGCCTAGAGTCATACAGCTAGGAAATATTATGTATCTGAGGTCACATTTGAACTCAGGTTTTCCTGACTCCAGGGCCAGTGCTCCATCCACTGCGCCACCTAGCTGCCCCTGGAAATCTATTTTTAAAAAAGAATATGGGTGTAAGTAATCTAATACTTTATTCTCCAGAGCAATTGCTTGAATGTTTTTTTTTCTTCCTAGGAAGTTATTAAACTTTGTCATACAGGAACATTTTCCATCAGTAGATGTGAAGGATCCCAACAGATACTTGGTAAGCTTTCAGAACAGGAGGGAAATGTTTTCCCTTTGCCTGCCTAGAGGCACCTTAGAGTTTATATACTGAGTGAACCAAAGATATTATCTAGTTCTGTGAGATCTATAAGAGATAGATTTCTGGTCTTTAGTATGAAGTTTGTAGACAGATAAGTTGTCTTAGTCCAAAAAGCATCCAGAAATGGAGAGAAAACCCACAGTCTTAATCTATAGTTAAATAATTTTGAGTGGATTTTGGATGTTTGGATTTGGATATAGTGCAGGGCTTTCTATTCACACAGGAATCATTCTATTCATGCATTTTTGTGGAAAATACCCAGATACATATGTTGATGATCCCTCTCTCCATTCATATAGAAATTAGGTTTAATTTTTCTCAAAAGAATTTTGGTATGATAAAGAATAGCAATTGGGTTGTTGTGTATGTTTTTGTGGGGTAACAGAAGGCAGAAGAATTGTGCTTTCAGGATAGGGAAAGAAGAGGTTTAGCTTCTTATTTTGAGTTATTTTTATACTTTCCTCATTTGTAAAGTGAACAGGGTCGAACTAGATCATAAGATTGATATGCTATGGTAGACCTGGAAGTAAATGTTTCATTTCCATCACGTATGGAGAATCTTAGAACTCGAAAGGACTTTGAAAGATGTCATAATCTACCTGCCAGAAAGATGATGACCTGTACTACAAGATTGCCTCAGCTGCAGAGATTCTAGAACTTCCTGTTAAACCAAGCCATGGTTCTCTAACTCTTCATAGGAAACTTCCTTTTGCTGGAGTTAAGAGAGATAAACAACAAATGGTCATCATAATTTCTTTATTTTGTTTTATTTCCCTACTATTTATTTTCTTCTTGTTGAATAATTCAGTTCTTTAAGTCTTTCCGCAGAATTTTCTCCATATTTACAAAATTTCTCATTAGTATAATCTATTATAGGACATATTATTGAGCAGACAAAAAAGATTTTTGTATTTGATTTCAGGATTTTTCTCTAATGTAGTATCTGGGACAGCACATCTTATTGCCTCATGGATGTCTGTGGGATTTGCTCATGGTAAGTTATCTAGTTATATTGCATCTTTCAAATACTGAAGTGGAATCCATTTGTTAAAGGAATTCACTTCATTGTCATTCATGTGTTTTTAAATTTTTCTGTTAATATGCTACTCAAGACTTTTAATTTACTAATCTTTACTGTTCTTTACCTTTATAGATTTTTCTTTCATTAAAAATATTTTGAACTGAACATTGTATAGAAGAAGGGAAAAGCAGTACATGGTATATTTTAAAATGTGTATCTTTGTTTTAAAGGGTAGGAATTCAAAAGCCAAAACTTTTTAAATGAGTAGGAAAGTTAATTCTGCCTTATTTATGGATTTCACAATCTCTTTCCCAATACTGTAAATCATGTAGAACTAACTATACTGGTAATAATAATGATTATGTTACATTTGAGGGTGCCAGAACAGTGTTCTGTGGGGATCTGCTCTCACTGGGCTGTTGGGGGAGTTGTCTTTTGTCAGTGGCGCCAAGTTTGAGGAGAGTAGTCCTTCATGAACCAGTTACTTATATAGAATTTTAAAGTTGGAAAAGGATATTAGAGATCTTCCAGTTGAACTCCCCTATTTTATAGTTAAGACAGTTTAGACTCAGAAAACTTCCTCAAGACTGCAGACTTTTAAGTTGTGTATCAGAGCAAAGACTAGAACCAAGTTTTGTGACTCTGGCTTACTATTCTACTTTGTCATGCTGTTCTGACCCATAGCCACATATGTGAGCCAGCTATTTTGCCAGTATGTGTTCTTGGCCACAAGAGATGAGAGAATGACTGCTTTAATATAAATTTATATCTGAAACTGGAAAACTTTGTATCCTTTTTATAGTAATATCATAAAGGACGATATGTTATCATATGGCATTTGGGAAGATGCCATTCTTTTCTGAATCAGTCAATCAATAAACATTGTTAAGTACTTACTATGTGCTGGCCACTAGGGATACAAAGATAAAAATGGGACAGTTTCTTCCTTCAAGGAGCTTATATTCTATAGGTTTAGATATAGTATGTGCAAAATAAATATAAGGTAATTTGTGATCAAAGCAGTCATAGGAAGGGAGGATCAGTAAAGGCCTCATGTTAGGAGATGGCACTTAAGGTGAGCTTTGAAGAAATCTAGGGATTTTAAGAGTCAGAAGTGAGGAGGTAGAGCATTCCAGGCATGTGAAAGGTTTGGGGTTGGGAGATAAGAGTGTCATGAGTGAGCTACAACATGGAGGCCAGTTCCACTGGACCCCAGAGTATATGAGAGAAAATAATATACAATAAGGTTAAAAAAGTAGATTGGAGTGTGGTTATGAAAAGTTTTAAAAGCCAGAGGTGTTTGTATGTGATCCTTGAGGTAATGGGGAGGCAATGGAGTTAATTGAGCAGGGAAGTAACATGGTGAGACTCTGTTTAGGAGTATCACTTTAGCAGCGGTGTGGAGGATGGGTTGGAGTTGGGGGAAATGTGAGGCAGGGACACCAATGAAGAGGCTATTACAATAATTCAGGAGAGGGGTGGTAAAACCCTGAACTGGTATGGGGGCCTTAGGAGTGGAGAGATGGGAAGTGGCTGATGTGAGAGGAGGTGGAGGTAAAGTCACCAAGACTTGGCAACTGATTGCATATGGGGCTTGAGGGAGAGGTAAGGGACAAAGATAACGCCAAGATATATAGAGTGATCATTTATTAAGGGCTTTCCAGGAGCACTGTGGATTCAAATACAAACAAGCAAGATCGTTCTTCTACACAAGGAGCTTCTATTCTAAAGGAAGAAGATAACACAGAAAGGAGAGCTGAAAAGTAGAGGGAGGAAGGGAAGTCCAGATTGAAGCTGGGCCTCTTCAAGATGGGATGGTCCAGGCTAGGCATCAAGAGAGGGGGCCTCATGGTAAAGGCTTCTTCAGGGTGAGAAAGCAACTGATGAGGTCTTCCTGGCCCAGGCCTGCTGTCAGTTTCTCTATGAGGGGCACTGAAAATTTCCTTTTGTTGGCTAGCCTCTAATTTTCACCCTAGCAAGTTGCTTTCTTGACACCAATGCTCTGATAGAAAATATTAGGTATTAGCGATAACAATCTTTAAATCTCAGGAGGGCCACTTGTCATTTCAAATACTTTTGAGCCCCCATCTAGTCTTTATGGGAACATAAACTAATTTTAGTATTAGTGTAATAGGCAAAACAGAACTAAGAAAGCATCTTATCATAATTGAAGGCTATTGCTATAGCGTATCAAGTGATCACTTTTTGGTTCATTATTTCAATCTTTTCATTACTAGATATTTATCTATTTTGAGTACAAACTTACAAACTAGAGTTTTTGTATATGTGTGTGATTTGCTGTGTGATTGTATAGTGAAAAAGTTTTGGACTTAGAGGAGCCCTGAGTTCTAGTCCCTTTTATGTAACCTCAGGCAAATCCTTTAATGTCTTTAGGCTTCAGTTTTCCCATCTGCAAAATGAAAAAGTAAAGTTGATGATCTCTAAGGTGATTTGGAGTTCTAAAATTTTATTACTTGGGGGTGTGCATTTTATTTTATTCATTAGTTGTAGAAAGTGTCTTAGTGATGTTACTTCAGTATTAGGTTATTTCTTTTCTTCTGTGTATCAGAATATCTTCATTTGCCTCCTCATAAGTCCTTTTCCAGCTACCTTCCTTTTCTTTATCTCACTCCAAATTAAATGGTGTTGCTTTTTAATCAAGAAGGAATTTAGTTCTGTTCAGTAGCCTTCTCGTAAGTGCTGACTGTGTGTAAACACAATACTGGACCTTGGGGAGCAAAGATGAGAAATAGAGGTGATGTCTAAGGGGGCCAGAGTGATGCTAAAGACAAAATTTAGTTGGAATTTTGTTTTCTTTGGGTAGATCTTGTCATTCTTGGGGGGACTGAAATCCTGTTGTACACAAAATGTAGATTAGTATTGATTTTAAAACTTTTTTCCTTTAACTGTCTAAAGTTAACTAAACTGTTATACTTGGCTAGTGATAAAATTTTACATATAAATATTTTATTCAATTTCCATTATTAATATTTTTTCATAAACTTCTTTGCCTCTCCATTTTTGATAAGTGAGTAGGGTTCTATAAATTGTATATACATATATAAATTGTATAATTATTCTGAATTTTTTTCTAATTTTAGGTGTTTGCAATACTGACAACTTCAGTTTGTTATCTGTTACAATAGATTATGGTCCTTTTGGTTTTATGGAGGCCTATGATCCAAGTATGTTTTCTGTATTTCATTTCAATATAAAGTTATCATCTGAAATTGATGACTGACTAATAGATGAGACCTAGTAGTGATAGCAGTGATAGAGATTAATAATGGCATAATGTAAAGAACATTGGCTCTGGAGTCAGAGGACTTGGGTTCAAATTTCACCTTGGGTAATTCCTACCTATGTGACCTTGAACAAGTGACTTAAACTCCCTAGGTCTAAGTTTTCTTAATTATAAAGTGAATGGGTTGCTTCTGAGTTCCCTTCCAGTTCAAGATCTATGGTCTTGTGATCATTCCTGTTAAATTAAAATAAACCAGATTGCTTTATATGAGAAGCCATGAAAACCACCAAAATAGTTTTTAATTTTCACTGACGCTAGTACCCTACCTAATTATTTTTATCTTCTACCACTACCCATATCCAGGCTTTAAAAATACATATAGGACCCTCGTTCTCTAGGATTCTAGCGACAGGGCTAAGTATGGTGCTCTGAACTGAAAGTAGAGAAATTTATACTATATATTGCTTTAAAAAAACAAAAGTCAATGTTTCAAATGAGTATCCACTTTAACTCCAAAAAATTTCTCTGATTTCCCCATTAGTAGTGCTACTGTCAGTGTCCTTTGACTGAGAAATTACATGACGAAAGCTGCTGTTGTAATGCTTTTAAATTAATTTCTGCTTTATTGATCATAATAGCACCTACATATATTTGGAAAAATATTTTTGTATCAGGCTTGTGATTTCATTGATATAGGGAATCTCTCAGTGAGGAAACACCCTCTTCCAAACCATATCTAGAGCTGCTTGCAACTTAGAGTCTTAGAGCACGGAGTGCTAAAGGGTAAGTGACTTGTCCAGGTTGGCCTAGCCAGGAGTTTTCAGAAGCAGGACTTGAACTCAGGTCTGTCCAACTCCCAGGTCAGCTCTTTATCCACTATGCCAAGTTGCCTCTCTTTGAAAAAAAATTGGAAATATTTTTTGAAAAATTATAATACATACTATATATAGATATACTGCTTATTATATGGAGTTAATCTGGATTTTTAAAAAGCTAAATAAAGATTGAAGTAACAGTTCTTAGTGCACATACGGTTTTTTAGAGTTAACTGAGTACATAGAGATGTAGATGTAAGTATGGACAGATATAACCTTTCTATCTTTGGGGCTGTGTGTCTAGGAGTATGATTTCTGGGGCAAAGGGTAAGAATTGTTTCGTGCTTTTTCTTACATAATTTTAAATAATTTTCCAGAGTATTTGGACTAGTTCATAGCTCCACCCACATCATAAAAATGTACTTCACTTTCCCCAACAATGACTATTTGTTTTTTGTTATCTATGCCAGTTTTCTTGGTGTGGTGTGATACCTCAGGATTTATTTTCTTTGCATTTCTCTCATTGTTAGTATTTTGGTTGTTGATAATTTGAGGTTCCCTGTTTGAAAACCGTTTGTTCCTTGGGGAATAGAGCTTCATCAATTTGTGTTAAATAAAGGTGTACTTTCATAGAATAAAATACCTCCCCATTTCATGTCCTTTTCCAGGACTACCATTTGTTGAGAAGCCACTTTCTATTTCTGTTCACTCTTCTTTCTGTTTATTCTCATTATTATTTCTGTATATTGTTTTGCTTGAATCTGTCTTTAAATGTTTTGAAGAAAGAACATTCTTATTCATTTGAAGAAAAGGAATCAGACGTAGTTTGTCAGAAGCTTGTGGCAAAACTCTGGTTGTATAATTACAAAACCTGACTAGGCCACATGTAGATTGAATTGCATGCTTGGGATTATTCTAGTTAACCAGTCATCAAGCTCCAGATGATAATCCTCAGTGTATTGTCATGCACCCCGTAGATGGAGACTAAATATTAGTTGATAATGATGCTATGAGGTTAAAAAAGGCAGTGTCACTTTAAAGTAGAAAAGATCCTTATACAGTTAGGGAAAGCTATATCATAAACTAGAAAATACAAAAAAGGGAAAAAAGCAAAGTAAATTTAAAAGCTTCATTTAAATGTTTTTCCAGAGAGGCTATTGCATAGTAAACTATTTGGCACAACAGCTGACCCACAAATTAGGTAACATTTCCAAACTAAAGCAACTCTAAAGCAAAATCATTTCTAAGTTTCCACATGGCAGCTTTTATCATATTTGCAACATGGTCATAACTATTGACACTAAAAAGAAAGCAAGACATCAGAGCTGTTAGCCAGCAAATCTTCATATAAAGCATAAGCTATTTATATTGGTTTATACTCTTTAAGATAAAGCGAGCACGTTAGTGCTTAGAGAAACAGCAAAAGTATTTTTGTGTGAAGAAAATGTCAATTATCAAAGGATGTAAGACATTGTTGCTATTGCAGAAAAGTATTTGGATACTTTTTGTTTTTTGTTTTTAGGCAATTGGGGTTAAGTGACTTGCTCAGGGTCACACGTCTAGTAAGTGTCAAGCGTTTGGTCTGAGGCCGTATTTGAACTCAGGCCCTCCTGACTTCAGGGCCGGTGCTCTATCCACTGCGCCACCTAGCTGCCCCAGAATATTTTGATACTTAAAAAAAGTTGGAAAAAAATTTTTAACAAAAACTGCTAATATATGGATATGAAGAAGCACAGCTTTTAGATCGATTTTTGGGGCAGTTTTAGACAGAAAACTAACTGGAGTAAATATAAAGACTCAGATTACCTTTTGAATGCTATGGAATGATGCCTTGGTTATGTGTGTGTGCTTTTTGTTGTTTTAAAGAGGCAGAAAAAGAACTTTTATTATTAGAAATTATGAGAAATATGAGTGTAATAAAGATTTTCAAGAGCACCCAGCGAGCTAGAGGGCCATGTTGAACATTTCAGCTGCAAAGCATTAGGGTATCTTGGCTTATTTGCATATAATTATTTTGTGACTAAAAAGAAAAAAAAGAGAAATCATATAAAAACAGTCACTGAAAATTCACTGAAAGTAAGGAATCATTCATTTAACCCGTTAAAAGTACAGGAACCAGGCACATGATTGAAAGAACCAGATGTAGGAACCTGATACAGGAACTTAAGGAAAAGAACTGAAGACAATTTTATTACATAGTGTCATCCTTTATTTAAATCAGTGTTATGTAGCAATGGAATTACCAAGGGGATTTTTAACAGAACTAACCAAAATCAGAACAGAATATATTCTGAAGGGTTAGAATCTTAGGGATAGCAGAAAAAATACAAATGAATTAATTTCATGGCATCATCAGACCTCAAACTATGCTATGAGGCAGTCGTCCTCAAAGCTATTTGGTACTGTTTAAAAAAACAGGAGTAGAGAAGTAGAGCAGCATACTAAGTGGCAGAAGAAGTGGAGAACAGTACAGTGCATGGTTCAGTAAACCTGAGCACAGAACTTGGTAGAGGAAGGACTCTCTTTAAAGACTAGAGCTCCTGAGAATACCGAAAAGCTGTTTGGCAGAAATTAGGTACGGATCATCATTTTAAACTCTGTACCACAATTAGCTCAAAATGGATTTGAGTCCCAAATATAGAAGGTCATCATATGGAAAAAAATTAGAAGACAGTGAAAGAAGGTAATGTTATATATAATACAATATAAAATAATACATGAATATATACTCAATAGTAATATATGACACTTGTATATTATATAATGTTGTTATAGAGTATAGTATTATGTATTGTTATATAATTGTTAAACAGAGGGTAGAAGAGACCCACATTAATTGTAGAAGTGCCCTTGCCTGGATCAGCCTTTTCATCAGCTTTCCTGTCAAACTTTCTGGCATGCTACAACTTTACATCAATTTTATCACTGGCCCTTCTCATACCCCTGCTTTCTAGCTTTCTAACTGTACAGGGCTGCCTGAATTTTGGGATGACTCCGCTTATGCTTCACCCTCTGCTCTTTCCCTTGTCATTGCCCCTGTACTGGTAACGCTGTCCTTACTTCTCCATCTTGACCCCTTGATAAACCAGTTAAACTCGACATTATCCTTTTCTGTCTAGTCCCTTGCCCTGTTATCCTGTCACTGATATTGCTCTGCTAAGTCCTAACCTTGGATTAGTTCCACCATCTGCTGCCTTTGCATCTCTTATTCATGTACTATTGAAAAATGTTGGAGAAAAATCATGAAATAATGTTGACTGGGTCCACTACAAATTTATATCTCTGCAGCATGGCAGTCCTTTTACACTTCCCTAATTGATTCACTGTCCCACTCATCCCAGCAGTTTTTCCAAACCTGTTCACCCCTCCTCAAACTTCCCATACCCTCCTCTCCCACTTACCTGACAACCTTGCCTCATATTTCACTGAAAAAAAATTGAGGCCATTTGCTGAGACCTCCTTCTATCCGCCTCCTCATCTCTTCACACATATGCTTTCACCCATTATCTTCTCCACTCCTGCCTTGTTACTACTTATTTATTCTGGGCATTTTCACTGGCTTTTTGATTTCTTTCAAGTCTCAACTAGTATCTCACTTTCTGTAAGAAGCCTTTCCCACCTCCCCCACCCTTAATGCTAGTGTCTTCCCTTCTGAGATTATTTCCAGTTTGTTCTTCACATGTCATGTTTGCCCAGAGTTGTTTGTATGATATCTCCCCTGTTAGATTGTGACACTGAGGAAAGTGACTGTTTTTGTCTTTCTTTGTATGCCCATTGCTTAGCACAGTGATACACAGTTGGCATTTAATAAGAGCTTGATGAGTTGGTGACTTGATTACAAAAGAATTTCAAGTATATATAATTAAAAACTTTTGCATTAACAAAATTAATGAACATAGAATAAGAAGAGAAACTATAGAATGGGATAAATTATTTGCCTCAAATATTGATAAAAGTCTAATATCCCAGATATTTAGTGAATTGGTACGGATATATAACACTGAGAGCTATTTCCCAGTAGAGAAGTGGTCAAAGTATATAGACTAGTGGATTTCAAAAGAAGAATTGCAATGTATAGATCATATGAAAATACTCTCCAAATAGCAAATAGAAAGAGAAATGCAAATTAAAACAACTCTGAGATTTGTGCTATGTAAATTGACAAAGATGACAAAAACAAACCAGAAATAGTCAATGTTGGCAGGACTGTGGGAAGACAGGCACACTGATACATTATTGATAGAGCTAAGATATGATCCAGCCATTCTGTTTATAAATTTTGAATTATGCAAGGAATGTGACTAAACTGTCCATATTCTTTGACTGAACCCTCCCACTCACTACTGGACATATAACCAAAGGAAGTCAAAGACAGAAATGAAGTTGGAATATATTTCAAAACTTTAGTAGCAGCATTCTTTTTTGGTAGCAAAGAACTCAAAACAAAGTGTGCACTCATTGACTGGTGAATGCCTGAAACAGATAGTATATAAATGTAATAGAATATTATTGTACAGAGGGAAATTACGACTTAGGAATTCAGAGAAGCATTTGTATAAAACAAGCTTTTGTATGAATTGATGCAGAGTGATATAAACAGAACCAAAACAACAATATACATAATAACTCCAGTGATTTGAGTAAAGTGGTCACTAAAAAGAAACCAAATTCAGAGTTAAGTATAAAACTATTCTCAGAGCACGCATATTGAAATCTCTCTCTCTCCTTACAGCTGAGACACAGGGAATTGCTAGAGTAGAATGTTGCCATTTTCAGTTACTGTATTGGATGTGTTTGTTTTTCATTCTCAAAAGGAAGGGTTCAGTCTGGATCGTTTCCCCCCAGAAATCACTATCTTATAAATAAGACAAATTTTTATTTACTTATTAAAAAAATTTTTTTTTGGTGAGGCATTCAGGGGTAAGTGACTTGTTCAGGGTCACACAGCTAGTAAGTGTCATGTGTCTGAGAATAAAACAAATTTTTAAAAAATACGAAAGATATGCAGAAAGAATAATAGGAAAGCTTATAGGACAGTGGGAAGATTTTAACATGTACAGGATTTACACAAGACAGTAAGGCATGGAGAGATTTTACTTTTATTGGTAAACAAAGTACCCAGGCTGATGAAATCAAAATTAAAAAAAAAATTCAGACAGTAGTCTTTAGCATCTGTTTTTGTTTTGTATCTAAAGCAGGAAAATAGCAGTTGTGATGATCTGAAAATTTATAAACAAAAATGTGAGGTAACTATTGTGAGGTGACTATTAGAATTTAAATTACTCTAGAGTAAATACATATTCTTGTGTTCATATTAAGTCAGAATTAAATAGTGTGAGAAGGATTTTTATTAACGTACTGTATAAACAAAAATGTGGATAGCAGATATTTATTGTATTGACCTCACTGCAGAATTGTAATGTTTTGTTTGAAGCAGATTTTGTACCAAATACATCTGATGACGAAAGGAAATATAAAATAGGAAACCAGGCCAATGTTGGGATGTTTAATCTGAACAAGCTGTTACAGGTTTTAAACCCCTTATTGGATCCTAGTCAAAAGCAGCTGTGAGTATCTTTAACCACATCTTTATATTAAAGAGATAAGAATTTCTATAATGAACATAAGTTTGGAAAAAGGAGAGGTCATAAGATTTATTATGATAACAGTTTCATAGCATTGCAACAGATTACATACATTGGCAACCAAAAAAATGTTTTAAATTAGATTTTGAAGTTTTATTTCTATGTAGGAGAAATAGAAATATTTTTATTTCCTCAGGATATTGTAAAATTTTATATAGTAAAAAGTTATTGACTCCTTGAATGCATAAATGAGTGGGGCTGAAATGTATAAAGCAATAATTTGGTAAGTAAAGTAATAATGTAAATAAGTGGTATGTATAGGAGGTATTTAAACTAAACATAATAGGTCCAAGAAGACTTATTTACCTACCAAAAATCTATTCTGTTCATTAAAGCAGGTCTCCTATGGGATCTTTCTTAGCCTAGCTGTAATTGGAATTTGTAAAGTACTTCACTATAACAATGGTAATTACATTTATTTGAAAATATTCCATAGCTTTCCACTACTTGGATTAATCTTTGAGGTTTAGAATAGTAACAACAATCCTATTCCCATGTCTTTTTCCTCCCCCTGGAGCTATTTCTTGAAACTTTTAAATGACTTTCTATGACAACCCTCTCTTTAAGAGACAAATAGGAAAAGAGAAGTTGAAAAGAAGAAATGTGGGTGAAGGTAAAATTGGGGGGCAGAGAGATGGAGGGGAAAAGGATATTGTTTTCTTTAAATATCTGCTATATCTCCCACCTTCCTTAGCCTTATGAATCTATTACAAGTTCTCATATTTCATGAAGAATAAAACAAGAAGAGTAGATGGAAGAAGAAAATAAAGAAACTAACAAGTGAAAGGGACTCAGTGCTCTATTAAAATTTGTCCCATGAAGTATTTCTGGTATTTATCACTGGACCCTTTACTAAAGTTCTGTGTATACTAACCAGTTGTGAGCAGTGTGATGCTTGGGGTACATTTTAAGAATGAACTAGCCAGTTGGGGGAAGCATGCTTAAGTTTAATGCACTCAGATAAAATCTTGAGAATGTATGAGTAATTATATGAATTACTTGAAAGTGAGGATTGTTTTGTTCTTTACATTGGAGGGGAAGGGAATAAGTATTTATATAGCAGCTGTCCTGTGCAAGGCACTGTGCCATGTACTTTGGTATCTCATTTGATCCTCACAACAATCCTATGAGATGTAGGTATTATTAATATCCTCATTTTACAGTTGAAGAAACTAAGGCAGAGGAAGTGACTTAGCCAGGCTAGTGAGTGAGTATGGATTTGAGTTCAGGTCTTCCTGATTTCAGGCCCAGCTCTCTATGTACTGTGACAGCCACCTGGCTGCATCAGTACCTAGCATAGAGCATGGCATGTAGTAGGTATTTAAACACTTGTTGATTGACTTACTGTATAATTTGAAATAAATAGAATTTGGTTTGTGTGAAAGATTGACTTAGCTTATGTACCCTTGTACTTTTAGCATTAATTCCTTGGTGTTAATTTGGAAAATGATATGGTATTTGTGATGTTTTTCTGAGATGTAAATTTTAGTTATATTGGGTGAGCTCTTGGAATAGTGGATAGAGTTGACCTCAAAGCTAGGAAGATGTGGATTCAAGTTCTGCCTTTGACACAGAGTAGCTGTGTGACCCCGAGCAAGTTATTTAATTTCTCAGTGCTCTCAATAACTCTCAAGACTATATGAGTTTCAGGAAAGCTGTTGACCTACATTGGATGAAGGAGTTTCCTCACCTGGAGTTCTGGTATACTAAGGAAATCAAAGGTCAATTCCTATCTCTATACGTTTGCCACATAAACTTTTATATAAGCTACTCAAATACAGAAAGGAAAAAATTCCAAATGGACTTCTGTTAGAACATTGATATTAAAAAATAAATTTGACATTCACCTTCTGTGTTAATGATGTGCTATATCTTGCTTTTATTCTTTAAAGTGATATTTCATGGGAGCATAACTTATATGACATTAAATGCCTCCCAAGCCTTTAGGGATTACATGCATGCTGTTACTGTTCAGTTGTTTCAGTCCTGTCTGACTCTTTGTGACTCCATTTGGGGTTTTCTTGGCACAGATACTGGAGTGGTTTGCCGTTTCCTTCTCCAGCTTATTTTACACATGAAAAACTGAGGCAAACAGGGTTAAGTGACTTGCCCAGTCCAAGGTCACACAGCTTGTTTAAGTGTCTGAGGCCAGATTTGAACTCAGGAAGATGAGTCTTCCTGACTCCAGGCCTGGCAGTCTATCTACTGTGCCATCCAGCTGCCCTAGCATATATATGTTAGCTATTATTATAATATCCAAAATTCATGACATAAGCTTTTTTAAAAATCGTTTTTCAGTCTGTTGCTTACATAATGAGATTCAGTCAGTGAACAAGCCTCTTATTTGCCAGTAGAAACCATCCCGAGCATTGAGGATAGAAAGAAAGAGACAGCATATAAATAGCTATGTGTTTACAGGATACATACAAGGTAGATGGAAGGTATAATCAGAGGGAAATCAGTAACATGGGAGTGGGGCAGGAAAGGCTTCTTGTATAAGGAAGGATTTTAGCTGCTGTGAAGGAATCTAAGTGGTCGAGGTGAGGAGGGAGAACATTCCAGGCATAGGTGACAGCCAGTGAAGATGCAGCATCAGGAGATGGGAGTGTCTTATGCAAGGAATAGCAAGGAGGCCAGTGTCATGGAATCGTCAGATAGGTTGAAGGGATGTAAAATATGAGAAGATTGGAAAGGTTGACAGCCAACGATTTTATATTTGATTTTGTAGGTAATAGGAAATGATTAGAGTTTATTTAGTAGTGGGGAGACCTAGTTTAGTCATTATCAGTATTGCTAAACCAAAATTAGCATAATTTTGGGAATGATTGCTATATAAATGCTAGCATATCAATAAATTGATTTTCATCAATCAAATTAAACCTTTATTAAGTGTCTACTACAGCACATATAATGTATTGTGGTAAACAATGAGAATACAAAAATGAAAGAATACACAGTTGCTGTCCTCAAGTAATTTATAGTCTGGTAAAGGGAAAAGAAATTTTTGCTGTATGATGCTGCTTTAAATTTGAAATGGGGGGTTTTCTTTAAAGAATAATTATACAATATAGTTTAATTATTTTGTTTTCACAGTGCTGCTCAGATTCTTGTGGGATATTCTACTCTGTATTACACAAGGTGCGTCATTTCTGAGTACAGATTTTTAATTCTCTTAAATAATTTGAAGATAGTTCTTGAAAAATTAAGTTTTTAAAAATCTTACTGCGATTTCTACTTTCAGATTTAAAGAACTTTTCAAAGCCAAATTGGGTCTCCTTGGTGAAAAGGAGGGTGATGATTATTTGGTTGCATTTCTACTACATGTAAGTCTTGTTTTGTTGTCTTGAATTGATAAATATTTGAACTATTGCTTGATCTATGGATATGGAAGAAAAAAGTGGATAGAGATTGATAGAAATGTAATTATTTTTATTAGCTCATGGAAGAGACAAAAGCTGACTTTACAATGACATTTCGGGAGCTCAGTGAGATAACTCAGGCCCAGCTAAAGGACTTCAATGTTCCTGAGGTATTAATGTGTAATATTTCACTTTTCTTAATTCCATTTTAGGAATATTTATTGTCTTTTGATTTCAGTGCTATCTGTGCATTGAATTAATGTCATATAAGTGGGAAAAAATTCTTGTATTTTTTTGTAAAATAAAGTTTACAGGAATGTAGACCAGACATTTAAAACCTACCAAGTCTCCTTTTTGGTTATTGTTAGTGTCATCTTCCTGCCCAGATATCTGCTGTACCATGATTTGAATTCAGGGTCTTAGGAGAAAATTAGTAGAAAAGAAATGATAAAGAAAGGAAAAAAGAAGGATTGGGGAATGATTAGATGATAAAAACCACACCAAAGTCTAGCTCTATATTCCTTTAGGAACATCACTCACCTATGGACCCCACTGTTTTTAAAATTTAACTATAAACCTCTTTAGCTTCTTTCTTCTAAATTTCCCAATCCTTTACTCCTCAAGAGAATTATTTTTCTTACTCTGATTGGATGTACTCTGTGCCTGGAATTTACACGATAGGCTGTATACTCTACTCTTGATCCCAATCTGCTCCCAGCATTTAGGAAGTCCTACTATGAATCTAAATTCTGGGATACTCTCTGTACTAGGAGATTTAAAAAAAAATCTTTCCTTCAGGTTCTCACTAGTGGATTCCTTTATTTCTTCTTTCCCAAGTATATTTCATAGACTCTTACCTTCTGTAGGGCATCAGATGAAAAGTAAGTCACAGACTCCCTCACTGGCCTCTTCTAGCTCCTAGGGTAAGGGCTGGGATCTTATGACCATACCTACTTTCATTCCCAAATATTGGCAGGAATATTTTTTTTCTTGACCTGATTTCTGGATGCTAAAGGTAGTGACAATTAACTGCTTCCCAGTGCCTAGCCAATCCTTAAATGGAGGTATCCTCATGGCCCTAAGAAGGGTAAAAGGTAGGTTCTCCCCTTTACCATTACTGTTGTTGAAAAAAGGTATGGCATTCCCAAGTCTGGGGAGGAAGACAAACCCAGGGACAGATTAGGGACAGGTTGCTGGGACCATCAAGACCACTGGAATATTTATTCAGATTCAGTAAGCTAAGAAACTACATAAAATTTGTATTCTGAGATTTATCTTGACGGTTACTATCACCAATAGCATTTGTATGAATAAACCTTTGATTATAAAACACTTGATTAACACCTTTAAAAGAAAAAAGATAATGCTGATTTTCTTTAAAGTCTTGGTACTTTTGGGGAATGAAGCTGGATCAGAAAACATCTTTGCTATAGAATCATGTTCATTTTCAGTTCATTCCTATCTGTTTCTATGATGGAAGAATAGTTAAGAAATCTTGTGAATTTTAAATAGTAGAAAAAACATTTTGTAATTTGTCTTCCTTATCCCAGCTATATTTTACAATCTGGTAGTTACCTGAAATCTGTAATTTGTTTAGACTTGAGAGAAAAAATTCTTTCCAAATTTTTTTTGGAGTGCTCTGAGAGGCTCAGTAGTCCAGAAGAGTCTGTGACTATCAGTAGTTCAATGAATTTATATGTAAAAATTTGATAATGAATAGGAAGTTTGAGTCCATTCTTTGTTTTCTATAAGTTTTCATTCCTTTGTATGAAAACAACCAAATTGCTGATTAAAGTGATCTGCACAGGTTGTCCCCTGCCTCATCTCTGCCTCTCAGAATCACTAGCCTCCTTTGAAGGTTAGCAGCTCAAATGCCACCTCCAGGTTCTTGACTTCAAGTTCCCTCTTTTATTCCTCCCCAGTATCTTGTATTTATTTAAAGATCTACATATTGTTTCCCCTGGTAGAAAGTAAGTTCTTTGAGTACATGAGCTTTTTCATTTTTGTCTATTTCCCAGTGCTTAACACCATGCCTGGAACATAGTAGACACTTAGTAAATGTTTGTCATCTGCTTGGGAGGCTGAGGTTTTTGTATATTGTATTTCTTAAAACACAGCCTGCCACTGAAATGGATTTCTGTGTATTTAATCTTAGAATGATATATGGTCAAAAAGAGATCTTCCTTCCCTTTTTTTTAAATTCATTTCAAAATAGCATCTTTTTCAAATAACCCGGACACTCTAGTACTTGGCATTGAACAATAACTATTAATTGTGCAAGGTACTATGCTGGATACAGAAGATAATACCAAGAAAAGTATGTCATAGGCCTGGCCCTCATTGAATTTAATCCTAATAGGGGCAATGAGACATATATAAGAAACTATAATACCAGCTAGAAAGTGAAAATGCATTGAGGAGGCACAAAGTGGTAGGCAAGGTCACCAGGGGGATAAGTGATGTTCATCTAAGCAAAATCAGGGAAGAATTTATGGAATTGATAGCACTTGAGTTGGGATCATAGAATCAATCAGTCAGTCAATCAGTAAACACTGATTAAGCACAAAGTGCTGGCACTGTGCTAAGCACTGATGATACAAAAAGAGGTAAAAGGTAGTTTCTACCCTCAAAGAGCTTAGGGTGGTTGGGTAATGAAAAGTAGTAATTTGGGGGAATAGATTATGATCTAAATTTTGTGTATGCTGAGTTTGAGGTGCTAATAGGACACCAGGTGAAAATGTGTCAGAGGCATTTAGTATCATAGAAAAACATAAATTAGCAGTTTGAAGGGAATATGAAATGATACGAAAACTAAGTAGTATTATAAGCATCTGAAAATATATTTTCATTAGGAATTTTGGGCACTAAAAACACTTTCAAGGCAAGAACTGTTTTCTGACTGGGTGACCCTGTACCTTTTGAGATTGAAGAGGTAAGGTAATCCATTCATCTTAGAAAATTGTTATAACACGTTATACTTGTAGCAGTATAACTTTTTCTGTTCCCTTGAGTGCTTTGCATTGTTTGAACTACTATGGTAACCCTTCATTTATCTAGAGGTCACTAATTCAACAATTTCAGTTATCTGAGAATGTAGCTGAGAACTGGGAAATAAGTAAAAAGTGCATTTACACAGTCAAAATAGATGCTCTAATCCATGAGTTAAAACTAATACCATCAGCATAGGCCAACTCCTAAAACTCAATTCAGGGGTTGTTTACTTTTATTTTTAGACACAATTCTGAGAGATTGATTATCAGGTTTCCAAGTGCACAACAGATTAGAGGCAACAAAACGAGGCTGAGGAAATGAAAGTTCTGGTAGGGGTAGCTGTGGTGGGCAGGGTTGTACATGTAGAAGTGGTAGCTGATAGTGGTAGGTGGTTTTGATAGTGAGGAGAAGGCAGGAAAATTATGAAAAGCAGACAAGCTAAAAAAATTTATTATAGGGAAAAACAGCCCTACAAACTTCATGACAGAGGCATAGAAACTGATGTTTCATGGCGGTGACTAAATCACTAGGAAAAGGCTAGACTTATGTTTATTAGAATGTGAGTCTTAAGTCTTTCCCTATTGCCAAGTTGTGGAATGAAGATGATCTTGAGTTCCCATCTAAGTCAAACAGAGATTGGGTTGTGACGTACACTGGTGAAGGGAGACCCACAAGGACAAAATTATAATCTTTGTGTAAGGGGATGTAGAGGGGCGTGGGAGCCCCACAAATGTAGTGAGACCCACCAGTGGTGGGGCCTGTCATTGTGTGTATTCGAGAAGGAAGCAGAAGAGCCACTTCTAGCCTCTTCTCCCCCAACCCTTCTCCAAGAGACACTTTCATTCCTGCCAGGAGGGGAAGCAGGAGGTTGGTGGGGATATGATCAGGTTTCCTCTGATTTTTGATTGCTTTGTCATTTTGGGGGAAAGGGGAAATCCCAAGCTCTATATCCAAAGCTTGACCCCTTTCCTACCTAATACCACTTCCACACTGAACACATGAAACTCATTTATCCAAATTATAGCAAAACAGAAATCAGAGAAAGTATGCAGAAGAGAACATATACTAGACAATACAGAGTGAAGGAGCTCTCCTATTAGGAGCAAGATAACTCAGCTCAGGCAAGACAGAGGATCCTGGATCTTGCCCAGTGGTAAACCCCGCCCCGAGTCTTTGGAGTCGCAAATTAGGGATAGGGACTTGATGAAGACCACTCGCTCTTCTCGTGTCTTCCTGGAGTCTTTTCCTTCAGCAACCTGAAGTAAAGTTGGCCTCTTTGGTCTTCTTTCTCGAAACTGGAAGCTAATTCTCACTTGGGTGGCTTGAAGTGTCCCCAGAGGGGGACTGGTGGAGAACTAACACTCTTGCCTCTCACCAACTCCACCCCCCCACTTATGCAGGGCAGGACCTTTATCTCCACCAACCAGCAGAGAGCTCCATTCCAATGGGCTTTGGACAGATATTGATGCATTTCATACATCAGGTAGGGAAGTATGTTAAGTATGTTTTAGAAAGATTTATTTCCAGAATTATTCAGATAGGACATTTAATAGTTAATAGGATATAACTGTCAGTTATCTGAAAAAACATACATTATATCTTACTTTTGGATGACGCTGAATAAATGAGGGGATTACTGTTTGTGTTATTTGTGACAACACTTGGGCTTTTGTCAAACAGCATATAGCTAATGATGATGATGATGATGATAGCTAACATTTATATAGCATTCACTATGTGCCAGGTGCTATGGTAAGTGCTTTACAATTATTTTCTCATTTGAGTCTCGCAACAACTCTGGAAGTTAGGTGCTATTATTATCCCTATTTTACAGATGAGGAAACTGAGGCATACAGCAGTTACATGACATGCCAAGGATCATACAGCTATTGTCTGAAGCCAGATTGGAACTAACTCTAGGCCCAGGACTCTATGCTACCAGAATTAGATTGCTTTTGTTGTTCAATGGTTTAGTTGTGTGCAACTCTTTGCAACCCCATGGACCATAGCACTCTAGGCCCTTCTGTCCTCCACTATTTCTCAAAGTCAGTCTAAGTTCATATTTGTTATTTTCATGACACTATCTATCCATCTCATCTATCCATTGCTTTACTCATGAAGAAATTTCACTTGATTTGTCTTCTGACATAACTTTTTCCTGCTCTGGTGTCATAAATAAAATATGTTGAAATTTGGGATCTAGGAAAGTGAAAATATGGCATTAATATGAAGGATAGGCACATTTGAGATCTGGTATTGCTGGGCCCCCTTCCTTCCCATTTCTTTTCATTATTTCCCTTGAGTTTTTTTTACCTTTTTCCCCCCTCCATATGACTTTTGTTATTTTTTTCTAGTTTTATAAAGTAATGCTTTGACAATTTGGGGTGGGATTGAATAAGTAAATTAACTTAGGTAGTATTGTCATTTTTATTATAGTGGCTCGTCCTACTCCTGAACAATTAATATTTTTACAGTTATTTAGGTCTTTATTTCTGTAACCAATTGTTTATAGTTGTATTTAAAAGTTTTTGTGTTTATCTTGAAATTTTTCTCTCTCTTTTCCTGCAGAGTTTTTAATTGATATTACCTAGAAATGCTTTGTGAAGCAAGCTTGTGAAGTTATTAATTTAATTAATTTTTTGTTGAATTTTAGGGTTCTTAAGTAGACCGTAATATTATCTACAAAAGTGATAATTTTGTTTCTTCTTTTCCTTTGATTATTTCTTCAATTTTTTTATTGTCTTACTGCTAAAACCAGCATTTCTATTACTGTGTCAAATAGAAGTGGTGACAGGGGAGATCCTTATTGCACCCTTGAATTTATTGAAAAGGCTTCTAGTTTATTGTCATTACACATAATTGTAACTCTTGTTTATGTATATATATGATATATATGTATACATACATCATATGTATTGTTTTATATATACATATATACCATATATTGTTTTAAGGAAATTAAAACAATTTGGTAATCATTTAAAAATATATCAATCAGTGTAACTTATTAAATGCATAACATACAGAAGATTATGTATCTAATTTACAAGTAGTTAATAAACAGTGACCCTGTGTACTGGGATAAGGATTTACTATTTGACAAAAACTGCTGGGAAAATTGGACAGCAGTATGGGAGAAATTAGATTTAAGCCAACATCTCAGATCTTATATTAAGTTAAAGCTCCAAATATGTATGTGACTCAGATATAAAAGGTCACATCATAAATTAGAGAAACATTACTAATCTATTAGATCTATGGGTAGGAGAAAAGTTCATAACCAAATAAGGAATAGAGAGGATCACAGAAGAAAAAAATAGATAACCTTAATTGCATAAAATTAATTTTTTTTCCTTACAGAAATCTAATAAAGCTAAGATTAAAAGGGAAATAATTGACTGGAGAAAAAAAATCTTTGCAGCAAATTTCTCTGAAAAAGTTCTCATTTCCAAGATAAGTAGAGAACTGATTCAAACTTATAAGAAAAAAAACCATTTCCTAATTGATAAATGATTTAAGGGTATGAACAGAAGGTTCTTGAGAACCTTGAGAGAGGAAATCCAGGCTATCTCTAGCCATGTGAAAAAATGCTTTGAAACACTACTAATGAGAGAAATGCACACTAAACCTATTCTGAGATTGTACCTCACAACCATCAGCGAGGCAAAGATAACAAAAAAGAAAAAAGTTAAATATTGTAGCAACTGTTGTAGAACAGGCAAATTGATGCACAATTGGTACACCTGTGAACTGGTACAACCATTCTGGAAAGCAATTTGGAATTACCCACAAGAAGTTACTAACCAGTGCATGCGTGCCCTTTTTACCCTGCTATACCTCTGCTAGGATTATACTCAAAAGAAAGTAAAGAAAGGGGGAAGGGGACAGGAATAAGTATTTATATAGTGCCTACTGTGTGCCAGGCACCGTGCTAAGTGATTTTTACAAATATTACCTCATTTAATCCTCACAGCAACCCTGAGAGATAGGTGCTATTATTATCTCCATTTTACAGATGAGGAAACTGAGGCAAACCAAGGTTGAATGATTTGCCCAAGGTCACGCAGCTAGTAAATGTATGAGGCCAGATTTGAATTCAGATCTTTCCAGTGCCATGTCCAGAACTCTTATCTATTGCACTGTCAGAGAGAGGAAAAGTTCCTATATGCATAAAAATATTTATTATTATTAAATATTTTTATAAAATAATTATTTTGTATTGGCAAAAGATGGAAAATAAGGGGATGCATAAAATTAGCAACTGGCTGCATAAATTGTGGTATATGATTGAGGTGGAATACTGTTGTGCTATAAGAAATGAGGAAATAGATTTTTAAAAGACATGAAAAATTCATATGAACTGATGCACTGAAGTAAGCAGAAACAGAATAATTTATACTATAACATAATATCCATATTATAAAGATGAACAATTCTGAGGATTTTTATAAACTGATGAAAAATGAAATGAACAGAACCAGGAGGACAATTTACACAATAATGATACTGTAAAAACAGCTTTGAAAGATAGAACAATGATAAATATAATTCATCAATATAATACATTTATGAATGCAGAGGAACAGTAATAAACCATGCTATTAATTTTAAAAAATAGAGTGGGGGGTTAGGGGAGGGTTGCTACAGAAGTAGAATGTTGCATTCACTTTTTTTCTTTCTTTCTTTTTTTTTTTTTTGGAGACAGTCAGGGTCAAGTGACTTGCCCAGGGTCACACAGCTAGCAAGTTTCTGAGACCACATTTGCACTCAGGTCTTCCTGATTCCAGGGCTGGTGCTGTATCTACTGTGCCACCTAGCTGCCCTGCATTCACTTTCAAATGAAGTTACTGTTTTTAGTTGACTTAACTGCTTTATTTTATTACCAGAGACCTCACAAAATGGGAGTAATCTGTAAATGTCTATAGTGTAAAAATAAAACATCAATAAAACTTTTTGACAAATGAAAAATAATATATACAAATAAAGAGACATAGTTGGTGATTAATTTTTCCTTTTATATATTTATATTTAGTAACATGAATGACTCAGATTCCAGAAGAAGAAAAAGAATGACAAGTGAGTCAATTGATATATTTAGTCAGCTTTGAAAAATATTTTCAAGCAACAGAAGTTTTAATATGAAAATGGTTATAAAGGAACTGAGTATTCGTTTAACTAGAATGAATTTAAATATATATATGTGTATATATATATGTATATATATATGTGTTAGAATAAGGATTATGTGGCATGTCTCTATTTCATCACCTTATTTTAAAGTTATTTCAAGGCATACTTCCTTCTTTTTAATAAGTTCGTATGTGATTTCTTATGTATAAATTATTCCCAAAGCAGTGTCCCTACTGAAGGGGCAGTGGATGAGGAAAGTTGTAACTATTTTAAAAATTAGGTGCTCATATTCATAAAATATTAATATGGTTTCCTAGGAGACCCAAGTGTTTTTATTTTGAAATTATTTAGTTTTGATCCTCTAGTCATTTGAATATTTGAAGGCTGTCAAGATTTTAACTTCCTAATTAAAATTTATTCTGCACTATATTCATTAGATTGGAATGTTTGTTCATTTCATAATAAAAACTGGGAACATTTCAAATTCTACAACTTCTTAGAATCTGATATGCCAGTTATAGGGATCGTTTGAGTGGAGGAACTCAGATGGATCAAGGTCATTGGTGCCTGGACCAAACTACTTCACGGCTTCCCCATTCTCAGGATGTGGAACAGTGACAGAAAAAGTGACCATAGGTAAATGATCCCTAAGGGAAAGCCTGTGTGGCTTGCCACTCTTCCATTTCTGGAGGCTGACAAAATTCTGGCCCAGCTATGGGGCCCATAAAATTGTGAAGGAATAAGTGTTCTTAACTGAAGCAGCTGGTGTTAGGTCGTACCTGATCCACAAATCTTTGTGTTTGGGTTCAAAGTCATTAAATCCTTCCATGGTCTACTGGATTAGAGGTGAACTAGGATTGGGCTAGGACCACTATATTTACTCTGGGTTGTAGAAATACTGAACCATCCTACTGTCTCTCTCACTTCCAGGAATAAGAAAGGATCTAGCCTTCCAGGGTTGGAATCTTGATCCAGTCTCTTTAATATTCAATTTCACTTTGAGAGCAGTCATGATAAAAACTGGTACCCCATTACTCACTTGTAATTGTAAATGGAAAATGGATTTTTGAATTCTTGTGAGATTGTGAAGAAAGTACTGATGACATGCAAATGTTGTACTGTTTGCTTCTTTTTTAATTCTTTTTTTATTCTGAATTTAAAATGGCCCCAAAAAGAGATTTTCAAAGCAGAAGACAAGAGGATTGTATGTGAAACCATCAATCTCCATAGCATACTGATTGCTTAAAAAAATGTGACAAATTTCATGTATTTATTACCTTGAAAACTGTCCTGCTTATCTGTGCTTTCTTCTGAACTTCCTTCTATTTTCTTCTCTACATTTAAAAAAATATATTGCGATGGCTCTCTTTTTCTCTGTCTTTCTTAGAATCACTACTGTTATCACTTCAAAACCTACCCAATTAAAAATTGAAGAAAAAATAAGCATATTAAGCAAAACAAATACACAAAAAGTGTATGTCTTTTTCTGCACCTTGAGTCCATTACCTTTGTTAGGACGTGGGTAACATACTTTATCATAGATCCTCTGGAGATATGATTGATCATTGCATTGATCAGTTTTTAAGTCTTTTTCAAAGCTATTTTTCTTTTTCTTTCATTCTTTTTTTTTTTTTTTTTTTGGTGAGGCAGTCAGGGTTAAGTGGCTTGCCCAGGGTCACACAGCTAGTAAGTATCAAATGTCTGAGGCCGGATTTGAACTCAGGTCCTCCTGATTCCAGTGCCAGAACTCTATCCACTACACCACCTTGCTGACCTGCTATTTTTCTTTATAATGTTGTTACAGACCTCATATAAATTGTCCTCCTGGTCCTGCTCGCTTTACTCTGTATCGGTTCATACCACACAGAATGCTCTAGAATGGTCTCTTTTGTCATTTCTTATGAGCCAGTGATATTCCATTACTTCCCTAGACCACAATTTGTTTAGCCATTCTTAAATTGAGAGGAATACCCTTAGATTCTAGGTCTTTTTAGATTTTTTTTCCCTTTTCATTCCCTCTTCAGGATCAGGAAGTTTGGTTTTGCTTGCCACTATTTCCTCCCCAATATTATCATTTCTCTTAGCCCCTCCTTCTAGCCCCTACATGCTACCCTGTTGAGATTGATGTATTTCAACACTAAACTGTTTAGCTGATGTCCACACTCCTTACCTCTTCTTCCATTTTGGTATATTCTTCTTATACACCTCAATTATGAAAACTAGGGAGTTCCTTCTCCTCCTTCCTCCTTTATATATTACTGTATTCCTTTTATATTCCTTTCCTTCCCCCTTTTTGAACTCTCAGAAAAGAACAAGTCCACCATCAGAACCTCTGTTTTTCTTTTTTCTTTACTCTTTGAAGATCATCATACATGCCCTTCCATCTACTCAAATAAATTTACCTTCCTAGATTTCTTTTGACTTTTGTGTTTGCATCTCAAAGTTTCTACTCAGCTTTGGCCTTTTAATTAGAAATCTTTGAAAATTCCCTATTTCATTATAGGCCCTTCTCCACCCCTCTACCCCTGGTGGAATTATACTCAGCTTTTCAGGGAAAATTATTCTTGGTTGTAATCTTGATTGTGTATCTTGTGTATATCATGGTTTTCTCCATTTTCAGAAATGTGGAACAGTAACAAAATATAGACCATAGGTAAACGATTCTAAGGGAAAGCCTATGTTGTATGCTTTTGGAATATTGTAATCAAGATACCCTGTCATTTATGGTAGAAACTGCCAGGTCTTGTATAATCTTGACTATGGCTCCTTGGTACTCAAACTGCTTCTTTCTGTATCCTTGCAGTATTTTTTTCTTTGAAGTGAGAGCTCAGGAATTTCTCAGTGACATTTGGGAGGTGATTGTTATATTCTTTCTGTCTTCACTTTGCCCTCTGATTCTAGAAGATCTGGACAATTTTAGTTTATGATTTCTTTAAATATAGTGCCCAGACTTTTTTTTTGGTGTCGTCTTTCAAATCATGCTTTTCAGGAAGTCCAGTGATTCTTAAATCTTGTCTCCTTGATCTGTTGTCTATGTCAGTTGTATTCATATCAGGTATCTTACATTTTCTTGTTTTATTTCTTTCAATTTTTGGTATCTCATGGAGTTACTGATTTCTGTTAGTTCTCCTCTAGTTTCTAGGGAGTCCATTAATTGCGTAAGGTTGACAATTTTTCTTCTAATTTATTTGTTTTCCTTTCAGTTCTTTTCTCCGGAGTCTTTTTTTTTTCTCTTTTAAAAATCTGTTGCTTCATTTCTTCTTCATTGACATCCTAGTGGAAAATCCACTTTTCCCTCTTGAGACTCTGATTATATTGTTATGTAAACACTCTCTCCTTTTGGGGGAATCTATAGATCTAGAATGGTTTTTATATAAGATGTCCTAAAAGTTTTCTTGCTGTTTTAATAGTAGCAATTTAAAGCTTTAATTGTTGTTTGCTTAATGTCTTTGGTTGACTCCTCTCTCAGCCTTAGTTCCTGAATGTCTCAGGATGAAGCATTGTTCTTTACTGTATGATCAGCCTTGGGTAGTTTTGCCCTAGGTCATCTGGGTGCTTGGACTGATTTCCACCTGTTGGGGTTAAGCTGCCCTAGATTTTTGAGTTTTAGAAGGCCAGATCTTCAGGGCTTCTGGGGCACCACAGAACAAGTACTAGGGATATCAGAGTCCTGGGTGCCTGGTCTGTCTCAGGCTGAGCACTGTCATGCTATGGTGGTTGGTTGCTGCCACTATCTGGGACTTACAAGGCCTGGCTTCTGTCAACCTAGGGTTTCTTTTAGGAACTATCCACTCTAATTGCCCTCAGATTCTAACTCATCCCTGGTTGCACTAGGAGGCAGCTGGCTTGTACCTGTGTTGTCACAGACTTTGCTGGTGACCTTCTTTGCTATTACTATTACCCTTTTGCTTCTGGCTAATTATTGTCATGCAGTTCTGGAGCAAAAGTTATTGTAATTTCTCATTGGATTTTGTAACCATTGTCAGTTTCATAAGAACTTTAGGTTTTTGCTGGAGTAGGTATATGGGAGCTGGGCAGTCAGCATTTTTTCTGGTAGCCATTTTGGCTGGAAGTCATACTCTTAATTCATGTTTGATTTTTATTCAGCATTCTATAGAACTTGATCTCAGGATATGCTATTTCAGTGAACAAAAGACCAAACTTGCTTCTTTCAGGAGGGGGCTGTGTCGTTGGTGGTATTTTGTATCTATAGTAACTGGCACAGAGTAGGTACTTAATAACAAAAACGCTTGTTGAATTGAACAGAATTTAAATCAGAATAATGCCTATTAATGAAAACCATGAATTTAAAGAAGCAAACTGAAAATAAAGGCAGTGACCATTTCTTATTAACTTTCCATAATACTCAACACATCAGCACTTAATCAGCATATTACATGATATGTTTGATGATGATAAGTAAGATTTGTTCTTTAGTATTTATTTTTTATTTCTTATTCAAAGATAATATTACTAGTGATATAGCATTTATGGCTATAAATATTGGTAGGTGATGAATGGTCTTTTCTATACTTTAAATTTTGTCCATGTAAAATGTCAACCGGACTGAACTGGCCTCTAATCTGTGGGTAGCCTGAGCTGAACAGAGCTGGCCAGAGACAGAGGAGTCAGGAATCAAACAGAAGCTTAATTTCAAAGTGAGGGAAATGGCTTGTAAGCAAGGCGGGATCTAGACACATATGCTGAGGCCTCGCTCCTGGTGGGGGGGGGCCCAAGACAGTATGGGGAGATCTCAATACTTACACTGATGGTTGTGCAGTGAGTTGTAGCCTTAACAATGAGGGGTAATAGCAACAATGTGACAAGTTTGATTCATAGCAGGATTTCATGAGTGGAACATGGGTACATGTTGGAGCTCAGAGAACTCAGGTGCTGGGCAAAGCAATACAATAATTATGTGATTTTGCCAGAGGGTGAGATCATCCAGAGGGAAAGTACAAAGGATTGTTGTTATGCCAAGCTCAGGGCACAGCTTGCTTGCTGGGCCTTAGCTCTGGAAAACAGGGTGTCTCTTGACAAAAAAAAATAACAATAATGCTAATAATAACTAGTATTTACATATAACTTAGAAAGTTTGCAAAGTTTGCAAAGCACTTGACAAATATTGTATCATTTGAGCTAGGTGCTACAGGTATCATCTCCATTTTATGGAGGAAAAGACTGAGGCTTATAGAGGATAAGTGACTTTCCCATGGTCATAATGCCAGTAAATATCTATGGCATAAGAATTAAATTCATCTCTTTTTGATGCTGAGACCCATTCTCTATATGCTACAACCACAGTGCCTCTCAAACACTAAGCAAAATGCAGTTATTGACCCCAAAATAAGTCATCCCGTCTATTTTGTGTAAAACACATGTTCTTTTCAATTAACTGTACACACACATACACACACACACACACACACACACACACACACACACACACACGTAGGACTTTCATTTTGACTTTCAAGGTAAGACTGCCCTTCTCCCCATGCAGGCACAGAAGTGACCGTGATGATCTTCCAAGTCTTTCCCACTTTCCTATTTGAAGGTTTTTGAGAAGTAGCCAAGGGCAATTTACATAACATACTCTCCCCTCTAAGGAAGACTGGAGACAGAAAAATAAATGAAAGAGAGAAGGAATTCCTTTCTGAATGCAAAGACCCAATGGGAAAGGCCAGCTCAAGTTAGGGGTGAACCATGCAAGTACTAAGGGAGGAAGGAGCTAAACAGCTCTGAAGTGATCATGAGCCAGTGTGAATTGGAAAACAAACTCATTTGATCGGACCAAGAAAAGCAAGAGGCCCTTTCTCTGGAGAATAGGGTTGTGAGACCGAGACATAGAAATGGAGAAGGGTTAAGTGGAGGGACTCCACCCTGCCATCACAGCTGTGTGCAGTTACTTTGGCTTTATGGTACAGCTGCTTGAGCTGGTTCTTGGAAGAGGAGGTAACTAGTGCCATCTTCTAGCAAAGCTAACAGCACCGAGCTATGAAGCAGAGCTAGGAACAGTGACCTGAGAAGAATTCCCAGGACCTATCCCACAAAGAAGAGTAGTGAACCTGTTAGCAAAAGAGAAGCAAGATATGAAGCACCTAGTAAGGGAGTAAACCTTGGCCTATGCCCTTGGTTGGTCCTGACCACAGGGTAGTTAGGTTTCCTGAATAGAAGACTGAACCTGTGATCTCACTGGTATAGGGAACTTCTGAGGAGGCGCTTCCTCTGTCAGGGCAGGCTGGCATCTTCTCTGCCATTTGTAGGCTTAGAGTTTCCTAGAGCATTGAGAGGGGGAGGGAGTAGCCCAGGGTCACATGGTCAGTATGTATCAGAGGTAGGACTTGAACCCGGGTCCTCATTGTTCGGAGATAGCTCTTTCCACACTGGGCCATGCTGCCTTAAGAGTACAGTTATGTTTAAGAGGTGTGTCTGTGTGTGTGTGTGTGTTATGCGTGTATCCATCTCTAGTCTCTATATGGTACATGATTGAAGTTGGGGTGATGATTATGGATTTAGATGTAATTCAGTTTAAGACTTCATACTGTGAATAAGACTGTTGGATGTTTGGAATTCCTGTGAGCCTGAGTGTTTGTAAGGGGAACTCTTGGCTATTCACAGAGGATTGCCAGATACTGAACTTACCGAGTTCCACTTTGGTAAAAGGCAACGAGCCAGAGAAGTGAGAGATCTCCACACTATTCCCAGGTGGGAATCATAAACTTGAGATACAAAGGTAATTTCCCAGAAAATTTTAGAAAAATGTAGCAAAATTGTTTAGCCAAGAAAATAAATGCATTTATGATAAAAACAAAGTTGACCATTAACATAAAAACTCAAAAATGTAATTCTCATCATTCAGGCTATATTCATATGGCAAATGCGTTTTTTCTTTTTAAAGTAAGACTATCTGTGGTAGTACATCAGACCTTTGGAAGGAGAATCACAGGAGTGTTTAATTTTTATGCAGGCTGCATTTAGGGCGTCAGGAAGCAGCAGTAGCATGGCTAATGGCCATAGGACGCTCTTCGATCTCTCACCTGGTATATCCTGCACCACAATTTGTAGGTTGTCCTTGGAATGCTCCCTACAGTTTGCTTTGGTGCACTGTGTTTATCTAAAAAGCCTCTCTGTAAGCTCCCATGGTAAGAAAAGGGTCTTTTATTTTAACTGTTAAATCTTTCACAGTGTCCTTCATAGGAGGGTATTCTGTTTGATCAGGATTAAATATATTTCACCGTGAAGTTTTTTGGGGTGAAAATGATTACAGGCAAATAGAAATACTGGAATCTTTCAAAAGGACAGACTACTATCACATTGTGCTACCTTAAACCACTTGATAATAGACAAAACTTTTCCTAGGTTTGAGCTAGATCTCTACCAGCTGAGATACACACACTATACTGATTTTGTAGGTTTTGTTTTCTATTAGTCATATAGAAAAAGCAGATTAAAATCTGTTCCAACTTGCTTTTTGGCATAAGGGAGCATTTTAAAAATTCCCTTGCTAATTCTGCATTTGCTGTTTTATTAACAGCTTCCAAAGCACAGCATCAAAATTAGAAATGCCACCAAAAAAAGATGTAAGTTGTGTTTTTTGGATATGTTGCAGAAAGAAATTTCACATTTTGTCCTTTGCTATTTAGTTTCTCAAAAGATATTTCCAGAATTCTTTTCAATATGATGGTTCAAATAATCTGTTTTAAGCTATCTTGTGCTAAAGGAGCTCATAACTTTATTGATAACTGCAATCCTTTTATCCCAATTTTTAGAATTCTCCGTAATATTAGAGCTTAGGAAGTTTTTAGGCATAGTTTTTTTTGGGGGCGGAATTTGGCAAATGCAGGAAGAGGCAGCAGTGGGGGATAAGGGAAGGCAAGCTATAGTTTGTTTTTTGTCTTGCTTTCAGTACTGGCTTGGTGTCCTCCAATTTGTTGCTTCTCCCAGCTTTCTAAAGAATCAGGGAACATCAATTGCAGTTATTAAAGGACGGGATGTTCCTGAAGAATGAAAAAAATTAGGTTTTAATTTACAAGAAAGAATTTCCTTAACTCTGTGTTTTGTTTGAGTCCTTCATATGTTCCAACTTTGACTTTTGGCTGAGTACCTCTGCTAATTAGAGTTCATACTACAGCATAAGCCAGGGTCATGGATTGAATCATCTTGTTAGCTTTGTTCTTTTTCTTTTTTTTTTTTGGCTTATGGTCTGTGCCTTCCCAATCATGATGCAAACTGTGTGTCATGGTTAAAAGGGTGCTTATGCTTGTTGAATTAATGTGGGCTTTCTTTGCAAAAAATTTATCACCATTACTGAAAAACAACTCAGAATAAATGTCATATTGATAGTAAGTAAGTAGTGCTGTTTTTGTGTACCAGCTACAGCATGATAAAAGTACTTTTTTCTCAGGGTAGACACCTGGTTGAAACTATTACATAGTCTCAATTCAGATAATTTTAAAGATAAGAGAAGCTATGGTGATAGCATACATTGAAATTGGGGCACTCTAAGCAAAACTTAAGAATTTAACTTTGGTCAGGCAACAGGGTGTATGGAGGGCTTGCCTAAGAGTCAGGAAGACTTGTGATTAAGCCCTGCTCCTGACTTGTCTTAGTTTGTGACCGTTGGCAAGTCACCCAAACTTTCAGTGCCCCAGTTACCACCCTGGAGACTATAAATGACGGACAAGTTGTGTCTGCCCTTGTCTATACCAGGAAGAAGCTCCTCACGTAGATGAATTTTTTTGTTTTGAAATAGTGACTATTAATAGTTTATTCTGATAGAACTATTTACATGATGAAATATTCATTATTTAAATCTTTTTGAAAAATTTTTTGAATTATGCTATTAATTTTTCCTTCTTTGAAAACATTGACAGTCCGTAAGGTCCTCAGACTTTAGGGATGAAGAAATAACATCTTGTTTCTTAGTAAACTCATTAAGTAAGTTAAGGCTGTTTATCTTATTTAGGTGTCAATCCTAGATATGTGCTGAAGAATTGGATGGCAGAATCTGCTGTGCGAAAAGCAGAAATGAATGATTTTTCAGAGGTAAGACTGCTGAGTGTTTTCCACATATTTTCATGATTTTAAGTGCTACATGTTTTAAAAACTTTTGCTAGTGTTGGTAGGCTTTTCTAAATAAGCTAAACTCAGTTTCATGCTATGAGTCTTGTGATTTGTCTTTTGAAATTTGTCTTTGAGGAAAGGACACTGAAGGATGTTTCTGTCATTGCTCTATGGTGACCCTCCTTGGGGCTTTCTTGGCAAAGATACTGGAGTGGTTCGCACGTCCTTCTCTAGCTCATTTTAAAGATGAGGAACTGAGGCAAACAGTTAAATGACTTGCCCATAGTCAGTGTCTGAGGCTGGATTTGTACTCGGGAGGATGAGTGTTCGTGACTCCAAGCTCAGTGCTCTATCTGCTGCTCCAATTAGCTGGTTACAGTCTGGTTACAATATTTTAAGTACAGTTTGGCTTATATTCAAAAAGGGAATACTGATGACATTTTCAAAAAATCTGGATCACAGGCCTGTAACTTACCATTTTAAGAGACGTGCCTAAGACTCTGAAGTAACTTGGGCAAAGTCCTATAGCCAGGACTAGAATACAAGGCCAACCTCTCTACTATGTCACATTGCATTTCTTCCTTGTATACAATAGAGATTTTAGAACACATATTACCTTTTTTTAAATTTTAATATTTTTTTCAGTATTTTATTTTTCCCCAATTACATATAAAAAGTTTGTAACATTCGTTTTTAAAATTTTGAATTCCAAATTCTCTCCCTCCCTCCCCACCCCCCCCCATTGAGACAGCAGGCAGTTTGAAATAGGTTATACATGTGTAGTCATGAAAAACATATTTCCATATTAGTCACGTTGTGAAAGAATATGTTTGTCTGTTGACAGAAAAAAACCTCAAGAAAAATAAAGTAAAAAAAAAGTCGCAAAGAGACCCCTGTTGTTTGACCACCTGTGGGCTGAGAGCTCCAGAAGCAGCCACTGCTGCAGATCCAGTGACTTCCAAGGCCCGCACTTGGTTTGCAGGGGCCCAGTCTGTACTAGCATGGCCTGCAATGGACTGTGCTCCACTCGCATCCAGGTCTAGGTGCGATAGACCTTTCTTGCTGACCTTCTAAGTTGTCTTTGGCTGGAAAATTATTTCACCATCCTTTTTGGTGTTCTGCTGCTCCAGGAATTTTTTTATAGCATTATTTAAAGGTGCTCAGAGGGGTTTTGGGGAGAGCTCAGGTGAGTCGCTACCTTTCCTCCACCCTCTTGGCTCCCTATCATATATTACCTTTTAAATCTTAGCAGTTTATACATTCTGACATGGCACTCATGTAAAAAAGATTCAAGATGATAAGCTAGAAGAGGATGGTGGCAGACTTTGGGTTTGAGGAAGTTAGGTGAGCACTGAGCCTAGAGTCAGGAAGATCTGTGTTCAAGTCCAGCCTCAAGAGACTCACTGGCTGTATGACCCTGGGCAAGTCACTTAACCCTGCTTGCCTCAGTTTCCTCATCTGTTAAATGGGAATCATAATAGCAGCCGCCTCCTGGTTGTTAGGATCATATGTGCTAATAATTACAAAGCACTGGCTAGCTATTGTTACTATTATTAAAACAAAATAAGCCTGGTTTAATTTTATGATACAATGTGTCCAGCATTGTGCTAGGTATTAAATGTTACCCCTACACTTAGGTTAAACTGTAGTAATTAAAATAATATAAAGGCTTTTACATAAGCCTGAGAAACTGTCTTGTTTGAATTTCTTCTCCCTCCCTCTCCCAGTGAAGCTTCTATTTGTTCTCATTTTTAAGGTTCATCTTTTACAGCAGGTTCTTCAGTGTCCCTTTCAGAAGCAGTCAGCAGCAGAGAAAGCGGGATATTCTTCACCTACCCCTTTATGGGCAAACGGTCTCAAAGTTAGCTGTTCATCCTGATGAAAGCTGGTCTTAAGTAGAAATAATTTTTTAACATTGGACTTTTAATATAATCTGAGAAATTGTTAATAAGAAATTATATATTGCTGAATCATAGATTTTTATAATAATGAAATATAAATTATTATATATGAGAAGTAAACATTTACTTAGCCAAAAAAGCTTAATCCTGAACTCTTCCTACTGAAAATTGTTCTGATGTCTGTTTTAATCAATAATGTGGAAAGACTAGCTTCCTTCCAGTAAATCACCTGAATTGCTTTTAACAATGAAGGAATTTTAAGATGACCCTTCAGTCAATTAACATGGTTTTCTAGGAACTTGTGCTAAATCCTCATAGGGGAATGCAAAGAATAGTAAAAAATGACAAATATAGTGCTCTCTCTGTATTATCTCATTTGCTGAAACAAAGTATAAGACACATCCTTGCCCTCCGAGTCCTTTAGGACTACTCATATGGGACTATTATTCAGAGCTTTGTACACCTGAGTTGTCACTGTGACTCCTTTCTGCTTAAGAAAAAAAAAAAGCCCATCTCACATTACTAATTGCTTCTACAAAACTCTACATTAGATGTCATATTTTAGACAACATTTCATTTTATGATACAAATGGCTAATAAGTAGGATCACTGTGGATCTCACTGATAGCTGAACAATGGCTGTGGTAGAATTTGTATTATGTAAAGTATTACTAATGTAATTATTGTGAAATGACATTAAATGGAGCAGTGTTTTGCAGGCTTTGTCTCTATTTGAATTTCTTTAATGTTTCAGAAACAAATTTTAAAGACCAGTGTCCAGAAATTAGATAATAGAAATTTTAATAGAAAAAATATTTTTTTCTTGGTAAAAAGAGTCAAAAAGACAACATTAAGTTCTGCTTGAAAATATTTTATCTGTGTACAAAACTTATTTATCAAGTATTCAACTTATCTTTGTTTTGTGGAAACATATGGTATATACAGGACCCAGTGCTAGTAGAGATGCAGGATGGGATGGTGCTGGTGCATGAGAACTGTTCAGACCTCAGTCTGGGGCATGGTATACAAGCTGTGCTGTCTGCATTACCTCCTCTCTTGACTCCTAGGCTTCTGTCTCGGGCTTGTTCTCTGAATTTCTTTTGTTAGCAGCCTTGTCTTTGATCTGTTGATTGTCTTCTGACTTTTCCAGTGGATTTCCTTGTTATGATACAGACTTCAGCATGCCGCTTCTTTGGACCCTAATAGCCAAGGCCTTACCCAACCCCCAACCATGCATGGCCCAGGGGGAAGACAAAGGCCTCCTAGTCAGGAGAAGTGTGTTCTTGGGCTACCTCTGCTGCTATGTGTCTGAGCCTCATGCATAAAATGAAGTGGTTGGATTAGATAATTGTGGAGGTACCTTCTAACACTAAAATTCTGTGACTACAAAATAAAGTTTGTGTATATATAAAATTATTCACAGAACTCTAAAAACAAAAATTTTATAGCATTTACATTTTTATAGTGATCTATAAAGTTATCCAGTGGTAGAGTTGTTAACAATCTCTATCCAGAACAGTCATGAATGTGGAAGTAAAGAGGGCCTTTAGAGGGAATTTTAGGACTCATTTCCGAGCCATCTGGGAATTTAGAATTGTACATAAAAGTTAGCTTCCAGATTTAATGAGGATATCTCTTTCCCCCTTAGGTCACAGAGGGACAACAGATAATCTGCAGTAAAGGGGGTTGGGGCTGAACCACCGAGTTGTGACAGCCAACTGGGAGGGAGCTGACAGAAGGGGGTGGAGATTCATTCACCACCTTGGAGGCATTCAGTTGTACAGTTTTTACTTTTAGTAATTACATCAGAAAACAACAAAAAGCTGGTCTGACGTGTTGAACAACAACAACAACAAATCTGAGAAGAAATCAGGAAAAAAATGAGAACCAACTTCAGGCTAATCTGAGAAGCCCCGTTCTGGCTCAGTCTCATAGGGGTCTAGGTGGTCTTAGGGAGTTCGAATTGATGGGGCTCTTACACTTGCTTGGAAGCAAACCTAGACCACAAAGGCAGCTCAGGAACTAATCCAATTTATCATATGTGTTAAAATAAGATAAAATTTTATGCTAGAAAGAACCTCAGGAATAATGTAGTCTGACTGAGGCTCACAAAGGTACTAAAAGTAGGACAACCAGGATTTAAACTTAGATCTTCTGACTCCAAAGGTCCTAGTCTTTCCACTAAACTGTGCTGCCTTTGGGGCCTTACAAGGAAATGGATCCCTGAGCTCACGGGGACTATGACTATGGAGATCGGCTTACATTAGACTGGCCAGCAGGCAGGGTAAAGCAGGGAGATGCCATGGGTACCTGCCCTTCTTCACTGCATTTGGGTCAAGTATCAGGGAAAATGCTTTCCTGAGATTTATTTCACTAATTATTGGGAAATCTCACATTTTAATTAGCTTGGATATCTCTGGTCCTCCCAGAATCAGATGTTGATAACTGGTAATTTTCTATAGATTTACAGGATTTAAAGAGGAATTTTGTATGTATGTTAGTTATTCTTTGTCCTTGTGCTAACACATGTTCATAAAATAACCAATAAGACCTCATAAATTATAATCTAATAAATATATTGAAATGTAATCATATCTCCCTCAGCTGTACTTTATAAAGACAAACTGATAATATTTAAATTAACATCTAGGTTAAAAACTGGCAAACCTGAAAATCTTTCATCCATATTAAAAAAAAATACTTAGGTCCTATATGTTTTCTTTATAAGTAAAATGGAATTAAGCGTATTTTCTCAACTTCATTTTTCATATACCAAAATGGAGGCATAATCATCTTTCTTAGGTTTGAAAAATTTTGAGTTAGAATGCACAATACTTTAGTGGTGGTTAATTTACAAATTCAAATCTCTTTTGTGTTATTCATACATGAAAAAACCAAGGACATGCACAGTGCATCCTAAAATGAAATGGGCAGTCAACTAAAAACAAAGTGAATAAACTGCCTTTTAAATTTCTTTTCCTTTTGTTTTCCTAGGAATATGGAGAAACTGGTATACATGCTATGGGGAAATGCATTGTTAAGAGTTGGTGATAACACTGAGAAATGTGACCAGAATTAATAACTATTTAAAAATTACTTTAAAAGGTAGATTATATTATAAAATATTTTGTGTTCCGTTTTCCTTCTCCCCTCCCCACCCCACTTTTTGGTCTGGACTAAGTTCTCTACAATGGTGTATTAACTCCCTCTAGTAAGACAGGCTTGATTTATCTGTAATTTATAGTTTTAGAGTTTTCTGGGATTCTGGGAAGTTAAGAGGTTTGCTCTTGGCTGTAGAGCTAGTTGAATTAGATGGACTGTGTGGACACTGAAGACTTAACCAACTCTAAAATTTTGTGACTCCAAGATCAGCTTTATGCCCAGGACGCTGTGCTGCCTTTTCATCTATTAGATCTGAGAAACACAAAGGGAAAACGTTTTCCTTTTAGCTTTTAAATATAGAATTATAGACTATTATGATTTGGAGGGTTCTTGGAGGTATCTTGTCCACCTTCCCACCCAACAAATGTAGTCCCTCTATAGCATCCCCAGCTTTGGCCTTACATGTGGCCTCAGTTATTAGACATACAGTATGTCACAAGGCAGCTTACTCCATTATTGGAAAGCTCTCTTAGAAAGTTCTCAATACTCGGCTAAGATCTGCCTCCCCATAATTTCCACCTACTACCTTCTATATAAAATGTTACATTTTATGTAATTCTTCTTTTATAAAATAAAAGAGACACATAACATAATTATGGTCAATTTAAAAAACAAGGGTATATTCAGTTGAAGTGCAAAGATAAGAAAAGACATATGTTTAGCCACAAGTCAGTAAATCAATTCTAAAAGGTTAATGACTGAATGACTGAAAATATTTCTACTTTGAAGTCAATATTTTATATATTGACAATCATTGATTGTCTAAAGAATACAACAATTAAAATACACAATCAAAAAAAGGTATACTTATTTAGGTAGGAATATTTTGTCATGTTTCTCTTCCAGGAAACAAACAAACAAAGTTCAGGATAGGTTGCCTCTTTTCTTTTGCAAAGCTTTCATCAAATCAGACATAAAATCTTGTTCCCCACTTGCACCCCCAGGGGCTGGTCCTGGAATATCTAGCCTTTTAGGAGGCATTGGAGGCTTTTTAATGATGGGTGGGGGAGGTTTACTGGGTTCTGTGGATTGGAATGGTGGAGGTGGAGGAGGAGGAGGTGGTAAAGGAAATTCATCATCACTAGAAACTGTAGGAGGTGGGGGAGGCACAAAATTGGGAGGTTCTTCGTTAAAATCTGGTGGCGGTGGGGGGAGCTCAGCCTCTCCCATTGGTGGTGGTAAAGGAAAATCATCTTGAGGAGATGGTTTGGAGGGTATCATGATGGATTTGGGGGGCATCAGAGACACTGAATTCACATCAGAAGACCGACGCTGTGGTGGTGGTGGTGGTTGCAGGTGGGATTTCTTCAGATTATTGGCTGGAGGTGCTGGTGCATCATAGTTACTAATGGCTGGCTTCTTTTCCTTTAAAAAGACAACATTATTCATGTTCCCACAGAAAGAATAAGTTTATCAAAACATTTCAAGTCTAGATAATGTAGGCATATTTCAAATGGTAGTAGTTAATTCATTTAACTTTGACTTTGTTTTCATCTTTACTCTTGGAATGCCAATGAAATTACATTGAGGTTTGTCTCCCCCATCCCACCCCAAGGCTTTGCCACCATGACTGACATTTCTTTTATCCAGATTAGGAGGCCCAGGGAACTTGAGTGACTTGTCCATTTGAGGTCAAAGGTAAGGCAAGAAACTTCAGTTCGGAAGTTTCCACCGAGTGAATTTTCTCTCCTTCCAAGGAGGTGTGCCCGCTTCTTGTGAGAATCGAAATGACGCACTTCAACGTCTTTAATAAAAAGTCTTTGAGACCCAGTCTTCGGAACTGAGTCTGGGGTCATCTTTATAACAACAGTGAACTCAAGGAGTCAAGTCTAAGGATTTGTCTCTCCTTTGGATTGTACTGGAATAGAACTTAGCTATTGCTATTTTCCCATTCTTCTATCTAACTTTTGGCTCACCAACATTCTGTCCCTAAAGCAAAACAAAACTAAACCTAAGCGGTTACTGGATTCCCCTGTACCACTAGGGGTCCCAGCGTAGCCACATTTATTTTGCTAGAAACTGAACTAGTAGCATAGCCACTTCCATTGTATATGACCAGTTTAACTACCCTGACATAGGTAGCTATAGCCCTTGGTAAAAGGAGACAAGGACCCCTACCCATCCTCCCACTATAAATCTTACTGAATTCCTGGTCATCCTTGAAAGTGCAATTGAAATGCCACTTCCTGTGTCTAGTGAATGAATGACCTTTCCCCCATAGCCCTCTAGAGTTCTTTGTTTTACACGTCTAATGAACCCATGTCTTTTCCCCTCTTCTAGATGATAAATCCCATAATGTCACTCACATATATTTTATCTAATAGCACTCTACACACAGTAGGCACTTTAGGTGCTAAAATGAGGGGAAAGGACAATTCGGGCAAAACAAACAAACAAACCTGGGACCCCTCTGTCCTAGCTTCTTCTACCTCTACTTCAATTTCTCTTCCCATCGAGTCTGGGAATCATAACAGTAATTCACATTTATGTAGCACGTTAAGGTTTAAAAATGCTTGTCTCCTAGGGCTGTAGACTTTGTAAGGAAGCTTCAATACTTCTGTAGTCAGATTGCCTTTCAACTGGTGAACTGGTTTAGTGGACCTCTGTTTGTTTGAAAAGAGTGTTTAGCCCAGGAATTGGAAGAAGTGGTCTTTGCTTTGTAAGATCATCTTATACCTAGAAGAGGCTTTAGATATCAAGGTGTCCAACTCTCTCATTTAGCAAATGAAGAAACAGGTCCAGAGATGGCCTTGCTTAGTTCTTAGACTATTATTTCTTGAGTGGCCTTGGGGAGGTCGCTCCCTTTCAATGTGCACATGAAGAATGGATCGAGCACACAGAATTGTGATAAGAATTAAATGAACTAAAGCTATGAAAGAAAGAGGTGTACAAAGTAAAACTGCGATAAAGGCAAAAGGTATTATTGTTATTGTTACTGTTGTAAAGCCAGGGTATCAAATGTGGCTAAGGGCCCAGTAAGGGTCACCCCTTTATCTGCAAGCATTGGAATGTAGAAGAATGACTGATATTTACATAAAATTTTACTCAAGCTTTTCAGCTTTGTTATTTCCTCCAGAGCGGTTTCATTTTTAAATAGAATTGTAATTTTTTTTCTTTCATCATCTAATGACCTCTCCTCACTGAATATCAAATTAGGTTTTTTCCAAGAAAACACCTTAGGATTTATTTTTTTCTTTCATTTATTTAGTTTGCATGGATAAGCTAATTAACTGTCTCCCCCCCGCCCCTTCCCCCTAATACATGCAGCTTCGGAACTGGTGTTTGCAAGTTATTTAGCTATTTCTATTCTCAGATTCTTTTATTGCTTTAAGCATTTAAATGATTCTCTTCAATAGGCACCATGGAAATCATTAAAGCCATAATAACAGAAAGTACACAGACCTGAAAGAACAACCAGGATATCAAACAAAAACAATCTCCAGAGGTTTTCAAAAGTCTTCAGAAATTGCAAGAGACCCAATAAATAACCAAGCTTTTACCCTCTGTGGTGGCTCCCAGTTCATAGTCAGATGAACAAGGGAGAAAAGGTGAAAAAATATCGAAGCGTTCTATTATATTATACAGTATAGCTGATGTAAGAGCTATGGAGTCTGTGGCTGAAGGGAAGTATTAAATGCAGCTCTTGTAGACAAATGATGTGTTACAAAACCCATTAGCAACTAATTTACAATTATCAGCTACAATTATTATCTAGATTTAAGTCAGAGTTCATTAAGTTACAAAGACAAAACTAATAGAGAATATTATTATTTCTGGACACATTTGAAAATGTTATTTATGCCCCATCACCTTGGGATATAATACTAATATATAGTATGAAATGGAAAATATAATTATCAGAAAAGGCTAGTTTAAAAGAAAGTCAGCAGGGTAGTATGGTGGATAGAGTGTATGACTTGGAGTTAGGAAGACCTGCATTTAAATCCCATCTCAGATTATTACTAGCTTTGTGACCCTGGGCAAGTCACTTAACCAATTTCTACCTCAATTTCTGAATCTGTAAAATGGGGATAATAAAATGCAATGCTAGGTATGCCAGAGGTGCTTAAATATATATTTGATTAACTGATTAGCTTGATTTATTCAGAACAAAAGAAGTAAAAATCCCAAAGGATTAAAAAATAGATTCAGTTTTTTCCTCCAAAGCTCATACCTCAGGTTCATTGATTTCTTATGAGTCCACAAAGGTTCCTTGCTTGTATCTGAGCCAGCTTGTATCTGAGCCAGAAAGTGAATCTTCAATCTCTACAAGGTATACAGTAAGTAGTACACCTTATATTACATCTACCTAGCTGACAAAATGTACCAGTGTCTGTTTCAACTTGAATGGAAGTTTACACATCTGTTTGTACCTTGATAACTTTAGCAATAACTAACTTTGCTTGAATCTGGTATACAACTAAATATGCAGTTCAGTCTGACATTTTGAAGAAAATGCATAATGTGCCAGAATTTCAAAATGGATGTTAATTTTGTGTCATAAGAACTCCATTACCCTATTCTGTGGTTTGTTTTTCAGATGTTCACTCATTATTTGGAAAACGACAGTAAAGGGACTTCACTAAGCACTTTTGGTCAAAGACACATGGTTACAATTTCTGAGTTCTGAACAAATACTGATTAACTGGGATGTTGGATAATTATGTGTTCAGATTAAGTCTGAATGTCCTTTTTTAACAGAATCAAACTAAAATCTTTGTTTTAACTCATATTCCTTAAGATCTTCTAAAATATGTCAGTTCATTTTGATGCCAAAATAAGCACTGGGACATTCTAAGTATGGGTTGAATCAGATGGCTTCTGAGGTCTTGTCTTTTTCTTTCTTTTTTTTTTTTTTCATTAGGCAGTTGGGGTTAAGTGACTTGCCCAGGGTCACACAGCTAGTAAGTGTCAAGTGTTTGATCTAAGGCCAGATTTGAACTCAGGTCCTCCTGACTCCAGGGCCAGTGCTCTATCCACTGCACCACCTAGCTGCCCCCCCGAGGTCTTTTCCAACTGGGACATAAATTTTCCAGCTTTTTCCTGGAAGAACACAGTTATGCTAAGAGGATATCACTAACCCACTGTTTGTAGGACATACTCCTTGAACTGGTTTTTTTTTTTGTTTGTTTGTTTGTTTTTACATAGTAGTGATAGGTTTGTAGAACCATGCACATTCTCTCACAGGTGCCTCATTCTAAACAGGGCCATAAATTTGCTTCATATATATGCCAGAGTTAGGGATGGGATCATAGTTTCAATGGCCAAAGAACAGAGATTTTCATCTGCAAAACTGCCTGATAGGAGAATGAACCCTTATTTGTACTTTCATTAGTATCTAGCACAGGGTTCATCTTATTTTAAAAAAATTAGTCACATTTTGTTTGACACCACAGACATTTCCCAACAAATATTTAAATGCCACCCCCCCAAAGTACATTATAGTCACATAGCAGTAACACAGCCTTGGGTTTTACATTATCCTTGGGTATCTGCACAGTAATCTCAGTATATATGAAATACTTTTAAAATGTTCTCAAAATGAACTAATTTTAATTCTGTTAATCTGAGAAAATGAACACTAAGCAATTTGAAAAACTGAGCACATGCACAGATACCATGCAGTACCTCTAGGATGAGGATAATGTCAACACCAAATAGGTGTGACGATTTCTGAAATGTAGACTAATGGGATAACACATCTCCACAATTAGCCCCACAGCTTATGACAAAAGTTTGGTCTGATTTCTTTCTGGCACACAGTGTAGAAGACTTTGCTGGGAGCCTTGTTTACTTACTTCAGAGTTTGACTGAGATCTCCACACTGTATCCCACATATCATGAATGAATAAAGCTTTTAACCAGGTACTCTACATATGTTTAAGCTCTGAAATGGTCAATAAAGCAGCCTTTTTGTTGGGAGAAATTAATTATTTTTTTTTGTTTTTTAGTAGAGTACTTGTAAAGATTAAGAAAATACTTAAGAATCTGAGTATTGGTTTCATTTACATGGAGTAATTCATACCTTTGTGGCTTCAACATGTCTCTGGGCCTCTTGGAAAATTCCACTAACAGATTGTGTAGGCTGGGAAATCTGTCCATTAGGTTGTACAGTGCTTACTGTATGCCCTAAAAAGGGAAAGAAAGATAAAAAGGAGGAAAATCAATGTATTTTCTTGATGCTAGGGGATATATAAATAACCTGAAAATTAAATAGTTCATGTGTAGGAATTTAAGATTCATGGATAATAATATACAATACTGAAGGTCTGCTTGAAAAATTTGTGGCTGTAACAATATTTTGTAAGAAGCACAACAAAAAAATTTTGAGTTGACTATTTTTTTAAGTAAAACATTAATTAACTGTAATACCTGGCGAATAATGTGTTTAAATTAAGTTTGAACTACCCTGTTAACAGTGTCAACCTGAAAACCTTTTCTATTTCAACCCTTGTTAATGAAGATCTAAAATATATTAGTTTAGTTTTGTGCCTTAATAAATATGTTATAAGGAATATAAATATTTTTGATGACTAAAGATATCGAAGAGTCATTTCAAAAAACCAATTTTTGTTGTACCACAGAATTAGATATAGAGATCACAAGAAATTCATACTGATCCTTGAGATTCCTTATAAGTTACTGTGAGAAGAAAGCTCTTATAGGAACTTATTTTATTATTTGCCTTATTCTCTTAAAACTTCACTTTAATTGAAAATTTAATTCAGGTTTCAGTATATTTAGAGAACTCAGCTACTAATTTAATTCAGTGGTTTCATGGAGATCACCATGTGAAATGAGATTGATCTGAGATTTATTTACTAACTAACCCAGTACCCTGTGCTCTTTTGTTTTCAAATTGATAATTTAATTATTTCTTCTACTGTCTTCCAAAGTGCTGAAGCTACTTATTAAAGACATAATTTTTAATTTCTGGGGTAATCTTTTCTTTACATTTTTTTCTTTTCTAGCAACACCTCATAGTACTTGAATTATTAAATATACTAGGTAATGGGTTTGTGAAAGTAATGGCCAATTCTTAAGTACTTTAGATGGAACATCATGAGGGCTTAATGGTTTGCTCTATTTGCCTGTAGTGAGCAGAACCTAGAGGAAGGGGTTGAAAGCTGTAAAGAAGCCAAGTTAGACTTGAGATAAGGAAAAACTTGCTAACTGTCTTAAGAGCTGTGTAGATTTGGAAGAGACTGCTTCAATACAGAATGGGTTGTGAGGTTCCCCCAGCAAAGACTAGATGACTGATTTATTGATGTAGTGTGGGTTTTTTTTTGCAGGATAGAAATTAGACTGTATAGCTGAGGTCCTTTCCACCTGTGAGATTCTATAACTGGAGTACATTCAACTTTCAAAAAGAATCCTTGCTTAGTTTCTTGCTTCCTTAACCGTTCATCACATATGGTCCTTGCTCTGATTATTCACAGCTGACTACTGGGTAAACACTGAACTTATGAAAGCAAATCCTGTTGGTGCTATCTTTACTATTCTCTTGTGGAAGTATATTTTTAAACAACCTCCTTTTTAGTTTCTCTAGGAATATGAAGATATAATATTTCTCCATTCTAAAATCCTTTCTAGACTTTTCTCTTGGGAAAGCAGGAAGAGCAAAGGCTGGGGCCTTTCTTCCAACCAAACTTCACTCTTGCCTAGATGGGATCACTGCCTTCCTGCCTACATGGAGTGACTGATGCTGTGACATAAATTCCAGGTTAAGTAGCTGCTTACTAGAAGAAATTCTTTTTCAGTCCTTAAGAAGAATGATTTAGGAATAAACAAATGAACAAATCATTTACTGAATGCTTATTATGTGCAAAGTACTGTGCTAAATTCTAGGGATACAAACAGAAAATAGACAGTCCCTGCTCTCAAGAAGGTCACATTCTAATGGAGGGGACAATACACATAGAAAGTTTCAGCTACAAGTCAGATGGAAAAGTCCCATTTGTGTAGAGGCCAAGTACTTGGCTGGAAGCATCGCTATTTTCAAGGCTCTTCGGTTCAGGGTCCTGGGCTCCTACTGGTGGCAGATGCTCAATCGTTGTTACTGGTTGTGATGAGGAGGGAAGGATCTTTCTCCACAATTATTTTATCCTCTCAAAGATGGCTGTGGAGGTTAGACTGGAAGCGGGTTTGAAGATTTGGGGGTTACAGTTATTCCAAAGTTCTTGGGTTCAGCGTTCTGGACTGCCTCCATCAGGGGTTGAGGGAAATGGTGGTCAAGGTGGTCAAGTGGTGGTGGTGGTGGTGTGACTTGTCTGGCATACACTGGTGGCCTTCAGTCTCCCCCTCAGGGTGCCTTGCTGCTTTAGCTAGGGCTGGCTTAACTGCCCGAGGTGTGGCAGTTGGATGGTAATTGGTCAGGATGGCTGGTCCCTTCTTCATAGGAGTTGCTCCTCAGGATGATGGCTGTGAAGGCTGGGCTGATCATAGCAGGTCTAGTGGTCAGGAAAAAACTGAGTGGAGACTATTTCTAGAATGTTAACTCCAAGCTGTATTTTAACTTGTTTCTTTCTCTTTTGTTCAAGACTCCTATAAATGTTACCTCAAATCTTGGGTAGAGTCATGTTGAGGGGATGAAAAACTATGTCAGTGTGGACATCTCTCTTCATGCTAGAAATGGCTTAGAAATTGATTAGTGTTCAATTCAATAAATTTGTTTTTGGAAAACTTCAGCCTAAATCATAGAGGACATTATCATTAGGAATTTTTTTTCTTTTAATAAAAAGATAATGTCTTCCTTTTCTCCTTTGTTGAGAGGGCAGAGATGATAGTATTATAGAATATGAGTTGGAAAGGAGCTTAAAGGCCAAGTAGTCCAGCTTATGCCTAAACAAGAATTCCCTCCATAACAAATCCAACAAGAAGCTATTCAGCCTTCAAGCGAAGACCCCGGGTGGTAACTCAGTGCTTCCCAACACAACTTGTTCTACTTGGATAGTTTTCAATGTTTGGAAATTCTTCCTTACACTGAGCTAAAATCTTCCTTTTTGCAATTTATATTCATTGCTCCCAGTTCTGCTGTCTGAAGCAAAACAGGACAAGTCTTCTCCCTGTTACAGAAAGAGACCGATGTCCCTTTCCACTCCATTCCCCCTCCAAGTCTTCTCTTTTCCAACCTAAACACCCTCAGTTTCTTGCATGGCATGATCTCAATCTTCAATCTCTCCCTGGCTACTGGCTTCTTCCCTACTACCTATATACACACCAATGCCTCCTGCGTCCTCAAAAAATTGACACTTCCTCCACCCAGTCTTGCTAGCTATCACTCCATCTCTCCTCATGGCGTTGAGCCATGAAAAGGCCATCTACACTCAATGCCTCCATGTTCTTTCTTTCCACTATCTTCTTAACCCTCTTATCTGATTTCTGAGCTCATCATTCAGCTGAAATTGCTCTTTCCAAAGTTATCAATGATCTCTTAACTGCTAAATCTAATTGTCTTTTTTCAGTCCTCATTCTACTTAACACCTCTTTGCAGCCTTTCACAAAATCACCCACTTCTCTCTTTGCCACAGTCACTGCCTGGTTCAGGTCCTCATCATGTTGCAACTAGACTATTGCAGCAGCATTAAGTTAATCTACCAGTGACACTGACCTTCTTCTTGTTCTTGAACAAGATGCTCTATCTTGATTCCAGGTAATTTCATGGACTGTCCCCCATGCCTGGAATCCTCTCCCTTCTCATCTACATCTCCTGGCTTCTTTTGAATCTCAGCCAAAGTCCCACCTTCTACAAAAAGAGGCTTTCCCAGTTTTCCTCAATCTTAGTGCCTTCTCTCTGAGATTATCTCCAGTTTGCCATTAGCAAAGACGATTTTTCACCTTTTTTTTTTTGTATCCGTAGCGCTCAGCATAATGCTAGCACATAGTAGATGCTTAATAAATGCTTGTTGACTTTACAATATCGTTGTAATACTGTGTGTAATACAGTGGCTCTGGTGACCTTAAGCAACTCACTTAACTTTGCTGAGCCTCACTTTCCTCATCTATAAAATGGAGGTAAGGGGTCCCTCTGAGGTCCCGTCTAACTCTAAATCTGTTTTTTTGTGGATTGCCCCAAAATCTATATAGCTACCCCCAACCTCTCTTCTAAGCTCTAGAGCCATATTTTCAACTGGCTATGAAACATTTCTATCCGAACGACTTCTTGAATTTAAAATACAACATATATAAACCTGAAATCCTCCTCCTCTTTCACTGTTCTCCTCCTTTACGGTCCCCACCACCCGCTTCTTCTGCTGATGGCCTTATATCCATTCATGGTATTGCCATTTTCCCATTTATCCATACTCAAAAATACTTTTGACTTCTTCCTTCCTCACTTTACCTATCCCACTCCCTTCTAATCCATCCTTTCCACCACTGTATACATTTGGTCATTTCACTCCTTTGCCCAAAATCTTTCAACCATTCCCTTACACACCAATTAAGCTCTTCCTTACCTGGCATTCAAGATCTCCCATAAGCCGGCCACCATCACGTTTCATATTATTCCATTCCATGTACTCTTTGTATCAACCAAACTAGACCATTCCCCATCCTGTCACACCCCACCTTTGTATTTCTTCATGCTGCTCCCCCGACTGAAGTCACCTCCTCTTCCTTACCTGTTGAAGCCTCATGCACCTTTTAAAGCTCAAATCAAATGCCGCCTCCCCCAGGAAGTTCGTCTTGATTCCTTTCCTCCCTGGTCAATAACGAAATCTCCCCTTTCACATAACACTTTGCTTTCCTCTCTAGACTAATCATTTCGCACCGTAGCTAGCTGTGTAGAGCCTTCCAGAGCTTGTGATTTGTCTGCTGGCATTGCCACCCAGAACCCAGGGCCTCCTCTACATCATGCATTGTTATCTTCATGAAAAAGACCTCAGCCTCAAGCAGCCTTCAATTCCTAGCAAGGGTGATAGAATGTACACAGGTGAATAAACTACAAATTATGTTTAGCAAAAAGGGGCACATAACAATATGGCACATAGGCAGAGGATGCATTACCCTCCCTGTTTCCTTTCACTCCCCTAGAGCTGCACATCTTATGGCTCTTTTCCACTTCAAGGTTATTAATGAAATGCATTTGAACCTGATTTCACATGAATAGGAATGTTTTAGGTTAGTTTTTTTCCTCCTTGTTATGAAGAGAGAGACGTGACCCAGCGTCCTCCGTCCCCGTGAGGACTGTGCTTTGGATTTGGATGGAGGAAGCTGACTGGAGAAAAAGTGACAAAAGCTGAGCTTCTAGAGCATATTCTTGTCAACATGCACACATTCTACCGTCACGTGTTGGTGAAGAACAAAGACACGGTAACCACAATGGCAGCATGCTATGCACTGGCTACAAAGAACAGGAAACTTTGTCTTCCTGCCTAAGCAACGTCTTGCTTCTCACCAAGCCTGTCCAATGAAGTCCCTCTGTGGTCAGGCACTAGTTCAATATTTGCTCTATTTGCCAGATCAGTGCATAGTGGGAAGTTTGGCACTATTTTAAAATGACAAGCATCAGCTACTCAGTGTGAGGGATTTGTAACCATGCCCTTGGAAAAGAAATTTAAATTTTAGTTGCTTTATAGCATTTCCTCACAGTACTTTATTAATAAGCAAGGGTGGCTTTTGTTTGCTGTCAAGCAGAGGGTCTGTCTGTTTGTGGCAGCAGAGTGCCTGGAGCACAGAATGTGTAGAGGGGCGGGAGCTTCTGATCCCCTAATTTCCTCTCCTGTGTAGTGGGGTAGGGGTATGAATGCCAGCTTACCTTAATTTCCAGAGTGTTTATAGGGAGCAGCTAAGAAGACTAAGGCAAGGGGCTACAGGCTTGTGAGGCTGCATGCAACACAGGAAGGACACCCTTCGGCAGGAACTGATCGGCCAAAAGGAGGCGGCAGTGCTTTGGGAAAGGACCGCTCAGTGCCTGGGGTCAAGGTGAGGGTCTAGAGAGGGTGGGAGGTTTTTGGCATCCTCAAATCAATGGATTTTGGGTCTTGTGGACCTTTCAGCCATGGCTGAGCCGGAGTGAGGGAAAATTCTGAATCTTAGATATCCCTGCAATCCATTTGGTCAGAGTTGCAGAACTGAGCCTTAAAGGGAAACACTGAAAAAAAACAAAAACAAAACTATCCCTAATATCCCCTACAGTTAATCCCTCTATATATGCCCTTGATTCTGTGTCTTTCTGCGTCATCCATGATCATGGTCCATCCATCATTCTCTCACTTTCATGTGTCCAGGCAGCTAGCTAGTCCAGGCATAGTGGAGAGTGTATGGGATTTGAGAGTCAGGAAGACTTGAGTTCAAATCTGGCCTCAGACATTTACTAGCTGGGCAAGTCATTTAATCTCCCTGCCTTAGTTTCCTCATCTATAAAATGGGGGATAATAGTAGTACTTGCCATCCAATGTTGTTTTGAGAGTCACATGTGATAATATATGTAAGGTGCTTTGCAAAATTTAAAGCAGATATAAATATTATCCCCCCCAAGTTGTTAAATCATATCTTTTTCCTTTGGTTCAAGTGTTTGTGTGTGGGGGATTATACTAGTTTCCTTAACTAAATATATGGAACATGTCAGTGTTCAAACATGGCGTATGTATCACAATGTTCACTTGATGGCTTGGTAGCCAGCCTGTGTGACTGGGTAGTAGTGGTCCTGTTCCTTGGAGGGGGGTCTGCTCTCAGCTTCCACAAAGGGGCACATCCTTGAGACTGGGATCCCAATTCTAATGAAGAGGCTGAGGGCAGTGGCCAAGGAGAGGCATGTGGCTCCTGACCTGTTTAAGCAGCTTGAGAACTGGCAGAAAGAGAGAATAAAAGCTCACACTTATCTACACTCTAAGGTTGCAGAGTGATTTCACCACAGCCACCTGGTGAAATAGGTCAATTTTTTTTAAGGTTGTCTTCCCAGTGAGGAAACTTCCTCAGCCAATGAGGATCAGCAACTATTCTGCAACTTACAGTCTCAGAGAATTGCCTAGAGCAGAGGTGCCAGATGGTTGGCCCACACTCTTGTGGCCCATCTTGAAACAGATTAAAATGTAACTGGGAAGTATCTAACAAAATAAATAAAAATGCAACAGAACATACATAGATATTACATTAAAATATTTAACAAAATAAATAAAAATACAACAGAACATAGATAATATTATATTTTAAAACTAAGTCACTGTGCAGCCTGCAGGCATCCTCATGTACAGTGTAGGACCTCTGTTTCTATTTGAGTTTGATACCAGATGCCTAGGACACTGAGAGTTTCAATAATTGGGTTAATAAATGCCTGAGCTGGGGTTCAAACCCATGACTCTAGGTCCAACATTCTTCCTAGTAAATCTTACCAGTTAGAAAAAGCTTCAGTCCTAGAAAGAACCCAAGCGTAGCAGCACTAATTCTTACTAGATAGGAAAAGATAAAGCTGAGAGATATCCTTGAAAGAGATCTCAGGAGGATCCACCTTCTTAAGATTGGCTAAGATCTTATAAGACCTGAAAAATGCAAAGACTGCTGGGAGCTCTTATTTGCTGAGCTGGAAGGAAAGACAAAGGTCATTTAGTCCAGCCAAGGACCCAATACAAGAATTCTCTTGATACCTTTGGAGGGGGTCTGAGCTGCAGTGGCCGGGTCCACGGTCCCCAGGTTAGACCACCGAGAGGCAAGTCCGGCTCTCGCCATTGCTTTTTGATAGTTGTCATAGAGAATCTTTCCATACTACAGAGAAAGAAGAAACAACCCACAATGCAGTACTTTCGGCTACATTTATCTGGCAAATATACCCTTCGTGGTCAAATACTCATTTTCTTGACTGAAATGTATGTAACCTGCTCATCCTTTTACCTCTGAAGGTGATTTAAAACACCTACTTCCCAGTCCATATAGCAAAGTTGTCCATAAGGTAGGGGACAACCTATACAGTTAATCCACAAAGATTTTCTCACCTTGGCAATTCTTATTCCAGTGACCCACTGATTTAGAGCTCTTGCATCATCACAGCACAGATACTTGATATATTGTGACTCCTTCTGAATCTGGGGGTGCTGGAATAAATAAGTAACAAATTTAAAAAGTCATGTTCATACTCTCTGAGAAGCTCTAAGTGATCTGCAAACATTTCTCTGTTGGTAAATGTTACCATCTACATTTTTTTTTTTGGTATGAGGCTACAAAGGTTTTTTTTTTTTCATTAACAGATTAAATATGGAAGAAATTCACTATAATGTGACTTGCCATGAGTTTTTTTAAAAAACTTCATCAATAATATTAACATATAACATTTCATTTATACAGTGCTTTAAGGTTTACAAAGCACTTTACATATGATTTCATTTGGTTCTCACAACAACCTTGGTAAGTAAATTCAGGGTGAGAGAGCTTAAGTGATTAACACAGGGTCACACAACCAGGGAGTGTTTAAGATTACATTCAAACTCAAGTCTTCCTGACTTTAAGTCCAATACTCAGTCCGCTGTGCCACCTCACTGCTCCCCCCCAAAAGATAATTTTTGCCTCCATTATTAGACTATTATCTGTATCATTTCTACTATTATCAAATGACATTTAAAGGTGATTGTGTAGCCCTGTGATAGGTGCTCTACAATAGTCAAGAATTGGAAGGCAAAACCACTTCTCTGCCCTCAGGGAACTCACCATCTAATGGAATGTACAACATGTAAATAGGTACCCTCTGGTTGTTTACCATCTGAGGCAACAGTGATGTGGCCAGACACGTCAGAGATACCTAAAGCTGAACAGGTCTAAGATTTTCTGTTAACCAGAAGCCTCGCACTAGTAAGTTGGTAGGAAGTGAGAAGACAATCCCAAGATTCAATCCAACTGAACAGTCCCAACCTATTGCCGTCCAGAAGTTTCCCCAAAAAGTCAGTACCACAAGTTGCAGAGGTTGGTCTGTGTGCTACAGAACTCCTTAGCATCCCTTTTCTTGCTGTGTTTGATAGGTGTCATTGCTTTAAAAGATTCAAGGTTTCAATGGTTACCCTCTCCACCCACACAGATTCTAACCTCTCTATGCCTCAGTAGATTGGTAAGTAAACTCTGGTGGCTTAAAAAAATATCCTTTGGTGGTGAAAATGTGTTATTATATGTACAAAAAAATTATGAACCACAAACACTTGATTTTCTGGGGGACTTGCCCCATTTTTCCTCCCTCCTTCTGAACTGCTAATTAAGTTAAACTAAAATCTTAAGCTTTTTGTGCCATGGTTCCCTTTGGCAATATGGTAGAACCTTTGGACTCCTCAGGAGCGTGTTTTTAAGCTCATAAAATAATATGTATAGGATTACAAAGGAAATCAATGAGTGAAATACAAGATCCTAAAAAAAAAAAAGTTCCTGGACCCAGGTTGAAAATTTCTGCTCTAGGAGATAAGTGGGATCCTATCCTTGTTTAGAAACATCTAAAAGTATCCCACTGCTGTTTAGAGGACTATATTTATTGGTTAAACTCTTTTTCCTTCGCCAGTTGAGATGTGACATAATCAATAAACATTTATTAAACACCTACTATATGCCAGGCACTGTGCTAAGCGCTGGAGATACAAGAAGAAGCAAAAGATAGTCCCTACCCTCAAGAAGTTTATAATCTAGTGGGGGAGATAGCAAGCAGACACAAACTATGCACAAACAAGCTATTTACAGGCTAAACAGGACATAATGACCCGATGGAAGGCACTGGAGTTAAGAGGGGTTGAGGAAGGCTTCCTGTAGATGGAATGTCAGGAGTCAGAGATGAGAAGAAAGAGCCTTCCACGTTTAAAAAAAATCTGATCTTAGGCACCAGTTCCTAAGGGTGGCTCTTGGCCAAGCTGATCTAGAAGAATGATGGTGGACTATTTGAGCAAGGGTCTTTTAGGACCATGTGAGAGAGAGAGTTGGGGACATAACCTCCATTAGTAGAAGGGATGCATTAATGCACTGGCCTTTGCATACACTCAGCTTGTGTATCAGCAAAGGAAGCTAATATATACATCTGTGTATCAAAATTCTAGATATTAATGATGCCATACACACACACAAAACTATGGATAATCTTTGAAAAATCCTTCCTTTGGGCTTATTGAAACAATTTTTAGAAATCTTGTTCTTGCATTTTTTAAAAAAAGTGTTAATAATGAAGATTAAACCTAAATGTCATGCGTATATTTTTCTATCTCCCCAACGAGAGAGATGGTTGTTAAACATTTACCAGCACACTCCTCTCTCCATCTCAGATACTTATTAGCTGTGTGACCCTGGGCAAGTCACATAACCTCTTTGAAATTTGTAAGTAATATGGAGACAATAATATCTGTATCACTTACCTCACAGAGTAGTCCTAAGGCTTAAATGTTAATATATGTAGAGTTCTTTGCAAACACTATGTAAATATGAATTATCTTTATTTCTTTTTAAAGTAATATTTTATTTTTTTTCCTAATTACATATAAAGACAATTTTAAATATTCATTAATTTTTTTTTTTTTTTAGGCAATTGAGGTTAAGTGACTTGCCCAGAGTCACACAGCTAGTGAGTGTTGTGTGTCTAAGGCCAGATTTGAACTCAGGTCTTCCTAACTCCAGGGCCAGTGCTCTATCCACTGTGCCACCTAACTGCCTCATTTAAGAAATTTGAGTTCCAAATTCTCTCCTTCCTTCTTCTTCCTCCCCCAGACCTGAGACAGTAAGCAATTTGGTATAAGTTACATCTGTGTAATCATGCAAGACATATTTCCATATTAGTCATGTTGTAAAAGAAGACACAGGCCAAAAAAGAAAAAAATAGTGAAAAACAGTACACTTCACTTTGCATTCAGACTCTATCAGTTCTTTCTCTGGAGGCAGATACGATTTTTCATCATGAGTCCTTTGGAATTGTCTTAGATCACTGTATTGCTGAGAAGAGCTAAGTTATTCACAGTTGATCACCGCACAATGTTGCTGTTACTGTGTACCATGTTCTCCTGGTTCTGCTCACTTCACTTTGCATCAGTTCATGTAAGTCTTCCCAGGTTTTTCTGAGGTCATCCTGCTCATCATTTCTTATAGAACAACAATATTCCATCATAATTATATACCATAATTTGTTCAGCCAGTCCCCAGTGGGTGGGCATCACCTCAATGTCCAATTCTTTGCCACCACAAAAAGAACTGCTATAAATATTTTTGTATAAATAGATCCTTTCCCCTTTTTAAAAATCTCTTCAGGATACAGACCTAGTAGTGGCACGTTATCTGTATTTCTTAAGATGATTATAAATTAAATCTGAAAGGGCAGAAACCTTCTAGTCTACCCTTGGCATTTTATAGATGAGAAACTAAGGTAGAAGGGTTAAATGATTGTCCATATAGGTAGTGGGATCTGAACTCAGGTCCTCTGAGTCCTTCTACCATACCATGCTGTCTCCCTAAAGTCAGAGTATCTCCTTCTATACTTTTGGAGGTAGGAACAGGAACAAACATTTATTAAGCGCCTTACTATGTGCCTGGCACTGTGCTTAATGCTTTACAAATATTTCATTTTACAACACCCCGAGGCAAACAGGTTAAGTGACATGACTAGTGTCTGAGGCAAGATTTGAACTCAAGTCACCCTGATTCCAGGCCTTGCACTCTCCACCTTATGGAGGCCCTCCCTTAGAAATTCTAAGTGGTATTGTCTCAGTTAGCTCCTGGCCACCTTGCTTCAGCAAAGTGTTACTTTATGCTATGAGCAACAATACTGAGCCTGGACTCCCTGTGTTCAACTAGTTGGTTAAAATGTAGCCAAGTAGAAGCAAAAAGCCTGACAGTCTCTGAAATGAGAAGAGAATTTCCCTTTGCTTTGCAGTTTTCCTCTGAATCCAGCAGATGGCACCAAGCGCTTTAGGATAGTTGACTGTTGCCCACCACGGGGGAGTCCCAATGTTGGCACCATCATTCTATATGCCAGTCTTATTTTTTATTTTTTTTGGCCACTGTTACCCTAAACACCCTCCTCTTTCAAGGCCTTTCAAACAGAAGTCACGGTTAAACGTGCTCATAGGTCCCATCTGCAGGTGGAGCTTCAACAACATTAAAGGGTTGGGCAGGGGAGCCAGGCACAAGGAAGGCTAAACAAAATGTTTACTCCCTTGAGCAAGTCTACCAATACAGGCATCATTTTCTCCATTAATAAGGTGGGCAAAGCAGAGACAGAGAATATGTAAGGCCCACACAGTCATGAACTGAAATTACATTCTTGCTAAGATGCCCCTCACTAGAAAAAACAATTCAGTTGATACACTGTAAATGAGATTTTCCTTTGACAGCAAAGTCTTTGCTTTAGGACTTGTCTACCAGCACAACAAAGAACCCCTTTCTTTAACATTTTAATCCCTTTAGGGAACCAGTATATTTTATTTTGTGACACTCAAGAAGATCTGAGTTCAAATCAGGCCTCAGACACTTATCTATGTGACTCTGGGCAGGTCAATTAACCTGTCTGCCTCAGTTTCTTCAACTGTAAAGTGGGGATCATAACAGCACCTGCCTTCCCAGGGTGGTTGTGAGGATCAAAGGAGATATTTTGTAAATAGCTTAGCACCGTGCCTGGTACACAGAAGGCATTATGTAAATGCTCATTCCCTTCCCCTTCCTTCCTTCCTTTCCTAACAGAGGGCTTTGTAAATTTTTTTTTTTAATTGGCAGATAGCATGCAAGGCCCAGAAGGCCAGGAATTGAGACGAGTAAATGTTGTAAGTCTATCCCTGCAAAAATTCATGTGCAGATGCTCAACTGTTAAAAAGTCTATCTAAACCACACGGTTAAAAAAAAAGCTTAATGTTCTGAAATATGTGTTATATCCAAATATAGAAAAATAGACATTCCCTTAATGAAAGAGATTGATCAGAGGAAGGAATTTTTGAACTATGATTCTGGGATGTCCAATGACTCCTTCTGGGGCCCACAGCTTGGCCTTATTTTCTCTAGATATAAAATGGGAGCATTCCCCCTACACATACTCACCTCAAAGGGATTCTGGGAAGATGAATTAACTCCTCAATGGTTATGGCTTCCTGGGTTT